GGAGGAGTCAGTGGGAGGAGTCAGTGGGAGGAGTCAGTGGGAGGAGTCAGTGGGAGGAGTCAGTGGGAGGAGTCAGTGGGAGGAGTCAGTGGGAGGAGTCAGTGGGAGGAGTCAGTGGGAGGGGTGGGAGGGGTGGGAGAAGTGGGAGGAGTAGTAGTTGGTAATTAGTAGCCGTAGGAGGAGTGACAGGAGTAGGAGTAGGAGGAGTAGTAGGAGTAGTAGGAGTAGTAGTAGGAGTAGTTTACCCATTCTGGAGGTAAGTCCAACAAAGAGGGGAAAAGGGAAAGGGGGAGACGCATCCAGAGGTGGTAGCGTTTACAAGAGGTAAGGTAAAAAGATCCCGGCGATGACATCAAAGACGAAGGTGGCCAGGCAAGATACCTTTGGTAGAAGTACAAAAATAATCTACTTACCTTGTTGCTTGCACTGGAGGTGCTTTTGAAGTTGATACTGCTCTTGGCCCCTTTCGCAATCAGGCGCGATGATAATTGATTGCTTGACTTATAAGGCCACGCCAGCACCTGAAGATTTGTCTTCCATTGGAAAAAAGAGGACAAGGACAGGAGGTCTTTCGATAATGTGGCAGGTGTTCTACTCGTACGATTGATATCCGTCAGGACAAATTGTTGCTGTTTATAGTGATGACACAGACCATGACAATTCTGAAGATCTACCTTGTTCCCTGCGGTGAGTATTGTCGTTGGGTCCTCGTCCTGAGTAGAACCGGCTTCGCTGTTCGTCAGCACCGAGACCATGTTAGAAGAGCGCAAAGTCTCCAACTCACTGCTGGGCAGGGGATTTCGGGGACATCATCTGCTTAGGGCTGGTGAGTATACGTTTCAAGATGGTGCTTCTTGTTCTTGAGTACTACTTTAATAGCAACAAGATCGATAAAGTATAAACATTCTGCTTCTGGAGTGATATGCTGTGAATTAGAAGTAGATGAAAATTCTAACTCATATTCTTAAGCACGTCCTCGCTCCCGCCTCTTTCCTGCTTCACGACCTGCATTTTTCCTGCGTCGCGACTTGATGCATTCTGTCCTGCTTCACGACCTGCATCTTGTTTTTGTCCTGCTTCACGACCTGCGTTCTGTCCTGCTCTACGACCTGCATTCTGTCCTGCTTCACGAACTGCACTTTGTCCTGCTCTACGACCTGCATTCTGTCCTGCTTCATCACCAGCAACACCCATTCTTTTATAGTAGCTCGTGGGGTGTGCAATCGTGCTCGTGAGGTTTCAAGTACTAGCTTTTAGCGAGGTATGCGTGAGGTGTACGGTCTCCACCACGGTCGTAGTAGTACGAAGATTTATGAGAAGCAGGGGAAGGCGGGCTGGCTCTAAAAGGACCTTGATGCCGATAATGCTGATAATGTGCTTGCTGTTGTTGTTGAGACTACTTGGCACTTTTCTCACGAGTTGTTGTCGTGCTTGTGGAACGTTGTTACCATCAAGAAATGACGTTCGCAATTATAGTCAATTATATATAAGAAATAGACGTAGGCCTCTCCGTCCACTCAGTTCGAGACGACTAATTCGTGCTGATTGCCGTTGGATTGATTTTGTGGATTGGTGGAGTTTTTTCTTTCCCTGTAATTCATTGACTCATTGAACTTGAATTATGATGAATGAAAGACCCGAGGAGTTCGGGAACAAGTCTGCTACAAACAGAGAACCAAGTCGAATAACTTCTACATACAAGGGAGATCAATTTGATGACAGAAAAAGTTTATCTTGTTCAAGGACGACGAGGTAGTCAGAGGAGAGAGAGGAGGGCGAAAACGAGACGATAGACTTGTTCACTCACACTCGTCGCTCCTCACTATTAAACCTCGCAGAAAATCGACCTGGTGGCCGTGGCGGATGGATGTGCAATGGATATTCTCGCTCATGCTCATCTCTCAACAACAGTGACTACACCAACAGAAAGATCTTCACTCACGACACCGAAACCCGTTTACAACTACAATCAAGCAACGATGCTAGTTGTTAAATAATAACGAAGACGAGAACGATCGATGGTTTTCGATTTGTGGATCTGAAAAAAATTTGGAAATTAGACTCGGATGATAAAAACACTTTCTTAGAAAAGACATTCATTCATTCATTCATTTACCTGTTCGCGAGGTATTGGCTATTTGCAAGGGGAGGGAGTAAGGGTTATTTGTCTTTTTCATGTGTTGCAGTGTTTTGCTTTCCTTTTGATTATTTGCTTTTGCATTTCCTCATGTGTCTTTTCAATAGGTCAATTCTTTTTGATCTCGCCAGCATTGACATCGTTAGCATTATCTCTTGGCATTTGATTTCCGTGTAAGTCGAAGGAATGACCAGAAAAGGCCTCTGTAGGGATCACAGACGTGCGTGAGGTGTACGGTCTCCACCACGGTCGTGGCCACCCACGAGATGGTGTTGTTCAAGTGCTCAATAAGACCCATTCCCCAAAAATCCTCCGAGAAGGAAAGATGACACGTTTCTTTTTTGATGATTCCGTATCAATCCTCTTCCTATTCCGTAGGTGTCCTCTCATCAGTGGGTAAAAACATTATGATATCAGCACAGTGAGTCACAAATCAGACTCGCCTAAGCCCCACGCATAGGTACAAGAAAGTACAAAATTCATGTTTCGCAAGTACAAGAATTACAAGAATTCCATCCACCACATGCCGTCACTAGCAAGGTGTATTTGTCTCCCCACACGCTGCGCGACAGTCGCCACAGCCATCGCAAGACCAGGGTATTGCCACTGAAAATCATGCCCGCATAGAATGCTGCCTTTTGGGAAGATGAAGAGGGGCTACCTGGTAGCGGGGTTTGTCACCAACAACCCCCGAAGATGAAGAGGGGCTACCTGGTAGCGGGGTTTGTCAAAGATTATGATGATCCACAAAAGTACTAGTAGAAGTAGACGACGTAGACGTTTGTCAAGGGTTATTAAGATTCCGCGTAACCAAATCCAGTTTTCACCTTAACCAAATCCAGTTTTCCGATCCACTGTATGACGTCCTGCACTACGGATAAGTGGTCGTGCAGAGCGTCCAGGAAAATGAGATCGAACGACCCTGGACCGTATCTCAAACTAGCTTCTGCGGAAGTCATACGGAGAAGTAAGGAACGACCGTGGGGCTTAGAAGACAACTACCAAGAGAGTTACGCGGTGACTACTGAAATAAGCAAGTAACTACTGAAAATAAGCGAGACACTGAACAAGGAAGAGTAGCCCTGTCAAAGCTACCTCCCTTATTTCAGTCAGTAACTCGGCTATTTTCAGTTTTCGAAATAGAAAAAGTAAAAGAGAACAATTATGTAGTGCATTTTTCGAGTAGGTGTGGTGCGGCCAATTAGACAAGTACTTCTAGAACTTGACTTCTAAAATGCGAATGCCAAGCAATCCCTCATAGTGGTCACACTCGCACATGATCTTATACCAGCCACTACCCGGCGTACCCTCTAGGTTCTCCAGCGAAGCCATAAGAAAAGGAGCCAACTTGTCCACTACAGACTGGTAGGTTCCATCGCCATCTACTGGAACTTTGCGTTCTGCGGTAACAGGTTTATTCTCCCATGGGTCTACGCCTATATGGAGACGTAACACATCCTCAGGATAGGTCTCCAATAACCTCCTTGTGGTGTTCGCTTGATCTACACCCACTTCTAACATGCGCAATCCGCTCGCTCTAGGATTCTCTTCTCCAGGCTCGTACTCGTTTTGGTTGTTCATGCTTGTACTAAGGTAAGGAAGATTAGAGAGGGTTGGTCGAGGTCATTTTTCGTGCCAGGTGGTCCGCTCTTTGTTCTACAAGTACAAGCACAACGCCACGCTCTTACTAAAAGTATATTTAAGTTATTAATTGCAATCATATTGGGGATTCAACTAGTACGTAACTAAAGATAGTTATAGGGATACCACATCATCATTCCATAACAATCCTTTTCTGTTGTCCCGCCAGTCTCTCCACTAAAAAGCGCAACACGTTCCATCGCTTTGGCCCAATGTCGTGAAAAACGTAGTGGGGCAACGGAATATTCACGTTTCCCCAGAGATTTTGCAGGATATCAGCAGCTCCTTTCTGGCCTTCGAGACGCCAAATAGTTTAGAAGAGCCGGCGGGCTTGTGCGCATCAAAATTGACAATCTCGATGAAGGAAACAAGCTTTGACTGAGTAGATTGTCACTTGGCTATTTCTGAGGAAGACTGTAAGTGACAGCGGCGGGGCACACTCACATCGAAGTCAAATACAAAGAAAGTACTTCAACCAATGAGTTCTCAACACAATCACGAGGAAACAAAGCCCCAAATATGATAGTTGACCAGAATCGTCATCGACAAATTTTCGATGAAGAGTGCAGCACGGTGTTGAATAGCGTGTGCGGCTGTGTGTAACGCTTCGTGGATCGAAACTTTATTTGGAGAAGTACTTCTAGATGTTTGAGAACCAGATCCAGATGTTGGAGGAGCAGTACTCGGTTTCAGATTTCCTATTTTCCCCACCCAGTCTTGCCAGACCCCCTCTACTTCGTCTGTGAGCCGTTCCACGTGCGTCAAAAACACATCCACTGTGGTATTTGCAAAGCCTGGTGGTGTCGGGATGTCTTCCGCCTTCTCATTTCCAAGATAATGCACTGCCCAAGTGCCAGTGGTATAACGTGGAGCTGGTAAAAAATCTGAAGCTCCTTCGGATGATGCAGCTGCTGCCTCTACAAGAACTTGTACTTGTTGTTCTTCGTTACTTGTAGTTGCAGTAGGTGATGATTCATCTTCATCTTGTTCTTCGGTTGTTGTACTGCTTTGCGTCGGAATGGTAGAGGTTGTCCCCTCGCTTTTGTCGGAGACGTGAATGATGCTGTTTATTCTGGACATAAACGTTTGCCACACGGACGAAACATAGGTGTCGTAACTGGCCATAATTAGCGGTCCTCGATTCTATAGAGAGAGACAGAGAGCAGAGAGAGAGTCGCCCTTTTTTCCTCTTAGTTTCCCCTTTAGATCAAGCAGGCCCCCGCCACTCAGATTGAGAATGAGAATACCTCGTCAGTCACGACTACACGAGATAAGTAGTAAAAATATACTAGCCTTAACATGAACCTGCCCTCTGCGCTATAGGGTTCTGACGCTGCTGACAGTGAAGAGCTTGAGAGCAAAATCTCATCTTGATCTACTTGTTGGGCAATTGCAGCTGCTCCGTTGGCGTCATATTGTAATTCTGATTCTACGTTTTCGTCTGGAGATGTTCTGGCGCCATTTTCTCTCCCAATGGCCTCTCTCCTCCTTTCTTGCTCAGCCCAGGCGAATGTCTTCGTATAGAGCGACACAAACTCTTGACAAGCCGACAGAACTAGGCGGTCGATAATCGAGGGCAGGAAGCTCGCGTCTGGAACTACAGCAGTGCAGTCCAAGTCTTCCATGATGTTGTCGCGCAAGGAGGTAAAACAGAGATCTGCATCTGCATCATCTCCTGCTGAGGGAAGTATTGCAGCTTTCTTTAAAGCTCAGCCTTCAATGGTCACGACTGATGCTGAACGGAAGAGACTGACCCCCTTCAAAGCTCTCCCCTTTCGTCCCTTCGTTTCTTTCCCCTGTTGGTTCTCTCAAGAAGGGGAAGTCGCTTCTTCGATCTCAGTGACCCCAATCTCAATGGTGACCACGATCTCAGTGACCAACCCCAATGACCATTGAAAGCTGAGCCTTAATTGCTCGCCATTCGTCTCCTCTACCTCCAGCATAGCCTCGATCTCCTCCTGGGTGTACTTCTTTCCACCTATCGTCGAGGTAGAACTTTATTTAAAAAAAGTAGGGCTTTGGTGTTCATTCATTCATTCATTCATTTACCTGTTCTGGAGGTATACTTACTACGTTAGTTATGCCTTTCCCCCTTAGGAGAGGCAAAACTACCAGTAACGGAAACACCTAGAAGAGCCTACTCATAATTTCTTCATTGCTTGTCCCTACCCCTGTTGAGCCAGAATCTGATGAAGTCTTCGCCTTTACATTAGCTGCAGCTAATCCCTTAGGCACTCTTCTACAGTCGGTGAAGTGGAGCGGCCATCTGACGTCATAGTCGTCATCAGGGAAGCGGAGGACAGCGTGAACAAATATTCTATGCGTGCATGTGTAGTACCAGGTACACGGGGATGTGAGAAGCAAACTGATGAGGCGAGAAGGCTTCATTCTTCTTGATTTTGATTTTGGGTGATGGGGTCCTCCCGGTCACATTCGCATTTATTCAGGTGACCGCCTTTATTATGTAGCTAACGTTTTATGTAGCTTACGCCGAAGAGGATCACTTACTAGTTAGTCACTGCTCGTCCTCGTTTCAGGAAACTTACATACAGGAAAAAACCCTTCGCACGTCAATCTGATCATGCCCTCTCCTCGCTAGCTTCTTTTCGTGTCGCCAGCCATATATTACGACCCCCTCAAATTTTCCTCTCGCTCTCCTTCGGCATCGTCAGCTCTCGTAGGTCCTGTGACATGTTTAATCCTGCTTACCACATACTTCTCGGTTTTTACTACTTAAGAGCATCAAAACAAGAGATGAATCGCAATTTTTATGTAGAAGTAATCATATATCTATAAAAATCAAATAAATAGTTGTCACTATATTTTCGGCAGCCCTCTCTCATCCACCACCCCTTGCGCATCCCAATTTTCCACATTGTAACCCCAAGTTGCGTCCTTCGTTGGGTAATAGCTCGTCCGATGTGCGTAGCCCTTGAAGAAGTCCGTCTTCTCTGTGTGATGACGCAAAAGGATACTGTTGTGGTTCCAGAACTCCTCTAATTGCTGGATCGCACGTGGATGAGTCCCAAACATCACAGAAAACCACCGGCCATGAGGGATTAGAGGGTAGGGAATGGACATCGATCATCATGGACAGCAGCCGCGGAATGTTGACCTCCCTCTATCTAAAAGTAGGAGCAGATGTGAAGTAGAAGAAAATCGAGGTAAGTTGGTTTGTTGTAGAACCTGCTTCAGAAGTCTCACATTTATTTTATTTTGTTATAAGTAAAAATTCTAAATCTAATTTATCATCATCAATTTCATTTTCAGATCTTCCAGTTAATATAGTTCAACGAACTTCATAAGAAAAATATCCCAACTCTCGGTTTGCTCACAGGGTAAGCAGTACTCCTCCATCCGAGGTCTTGGATCCGCAACATCTGGCCTCGGTTTTCCGCCACTATGGATGCCATCCGCCTAAAGCACTGCTGCATCTCGCTGGCAGAGCAACGACTATTAAACATCACACAACTTTCGTAGAAGACCATGATTTTTTGGTTGTGTGGGTATTCTCTTTCTCTCCAGAAGAGGAGGTCGATGAAAAATATCAATAGAAGCATGTGCTTCGCTCTCTCTCTCTTCTTCGAATCTATTGCTTGAAGGGATACATCGATCCATCTACGTGACTAAAAAGATTTCCGTCAACGGGGAGTTCAACCTGTCAGGTGTGTCGCGTTCCAAGTGAGTGTGTTTTCGTAACTTCTGATCCATCACATTCACACTGAACGGAGCAAGTAATGTTGCGTGACCATCGTTCAAAGATGATCATGATGAACACAACACAGAGGTTGTCACTCATCATATTTCACACCAGTAGCAGCACAACGTCGCTTTTACTCAGGTGCGCCAGCAGCTGTCCAAGCTTGTCTTTCTTGATTTTTTTGTTCAGGATCGTACTAGGATTAGACCTTGTTGCCGATATTAATCGTTCTACTGTCAACATGTCGCGGCACCTCTTGTGTAGCTATAAATGTCTACTTTTGAGCATCTTGAGAGCCATGATTTTCCCTGTCTTGCCGAGATTAATACGATTGCGAAGACAGATACGTATAATTAACGATCAAAGGGTACTATAGGGAGGAACATGAACATCAATATCTTCATGAGTAAGCCTTAATAGAAGGATCACAGCCTGTTGTATCAACATCAAGAACATCATTATAACCTGATCCACCTCCCCCAAGTGACTTACTGGGAAGTCCAATCATTAAACAAGTATCAGAGTCCGCGAGTCTCATCGGCAGGCTGAGCTTAGTACTCCTCTATCATTCTACTCGCTACGAACCCGCCGATTTTAAAATGATCGAGAAACTAGGAGGCTGAGGGAATGACTACTCGACCACCAGAAGGATCCTCTTGTTCCGCGCACGTGTCAACCTCTTCCAAGATAGCACCCAGTCACTCCAGAAAACGCCCATTCGCTCTAGAAATGAGCACACACAGGCGAGTAAGACGATCACGCGGCTCTAGATTCATCTTCATCCATCTGCTATTCCTATTGGGGATCTGGTTGGACAAAGGGAAAGAGAAATGACAACTTATCGCTCATATTCCAACATAACTCATAGGCGCATGGTAGTGGTCAACATTATAGATATCAGAATAAGCATAGCTAGTTACTAATATTGATAGATTATGATTGGGTACATACCACAGCCGGAGCAATAGAAACTACACAGAGCAGAAGGCTCGTGTATGCATACATGTAAGTACTAGTTGCACCAAGGAGGCTTTTAGCATGTAACTCTGTTACTACAGCCATACTACACATATACTTTTGCACAAGTCGAAATGTGCCGACTGTAATCAGCCGGCAGTGGGTCCCCAGCTTTTGAATTGACTTAATGGGCGATAAAAAGTCATTTTTTCGAGGATTGGGGATTTCAATTTGACATTTGAAGTCTAAAGCTAGCCATTATCTATTTACAATGTCGCCCTAGTATTCCTATTGACACAATAGATGTAGGACGCTCATGATTCGTAGCAATGACGGCCTCGCTTTCGATTGCAATGAAGATGAAGTCTCAGATATAGAGATTCTTGGATGCTCATTTCTATTGTTACTCCACGATAAGGTAAGGAACATTGAACATCCAGAATTTGAATTGAGTTCATAGGTCATAAAAAACCATTTTTTCGAGGATTGGCGTTCTTTCAATTTGAATTCTCTATCTAGGAAACATGGAACGCATGCACAGTTCCAATAGTATCATCGTACCAAGCCAAAAACAGACTAGACCTAAGAAGCAATGTCTACGATGATGATGATGATGATGATGATGACGATCATGATGGTGATGATGATGATCATAGTGACGATGCTGATGATTATGCTATTCTACTATTGAAACGATGCAGAACTACCACAGTTCCTGGTCGTGTTTTTGCTCACTTTCAAATAATGGCTGTGCTGAACCCTGATAAGAAAACCGATATAACCGATCTGGATGGGACTGGAAACTCAAGGCCCACATTAGATTTCTAGCCAACATCGCTAAGGATGCGCATTCACTCGCCTTCTTAACGCACATACAAGCACTCGTTTCCTCCTCTACGCAATCCGTTGCCTTCTTAACGCACATACAAGCACTCAATTCCTCCTCCACGACTACCTCCTCTCGATCATAAGAAGAAGAAAACTGCCCATCCACGCAGCCAGAAGAGAGAACTCCTGATGAGCATCTAGCGTCCTCCTGTCAGCGGCGCCCGCCGCCACCACGTAGTCTTCGCCTGTTAAACTTTCTAGCTTTCTTTTCCATGTGCTCAACCACATTCAGAAAAATTCTGGGCAGAGAAAGATGCTTCAGAGTCGGGGTAGAGGGCAGAGGTGTTCTCTGATGTGTTTGGTTGAGCTTGGATTTAGATTTGGATTTGGTTTCGACATCGTCCTACGTAGTCGTAGGAGTGCGATGCATTTGAGTCGACATAACATATTAGGCCGAATCATCTTTGATCATGTCATTCGCATATCCTTTGATACTAGAAAGCGTCTCTGTGGGTGTGGATGGAATAGTAATTCGGAGCCAGTGCGTTTGCTAGTACTACTAAGGTGATCCTGTGGCTAGTATGATGACACGCTACAACTTTGCAACCATGATAGATGTTGGAAGTTCATGACATTAACTGGCCCAGAGTCTGTGCATATTCGTGTATCTAGATGAGTGAATTTCTGCCGTTGCTCATGTGGTAGACCTCTAGCAGAGACATGAACATGATAGATTGGATTGCACTCTATTTGTTGAAGACAATGAAGACCTACCTCCAGTCAGTAGTGCCTCGTTTACAATTACTACTTGTTACTTCGAGTACTACGCTGCTCTCAGATACTAAAACTGAGACTCCGACGTGGTCGCTGTCGGACTGCTTAATGTGGAGTACAAACAATGCCTCTTCCTCTCTACGTATGACATTGATAATGACAACTCTAGCTCTCGACGTGATTATACTTCTACCTCTACTTACTTGATGTTGATGTACGTAATGATAACATGCCCACAACCGTAATGACAACATACCCACAACATACTGGCGCGTGCTTCTACTTTTACTTCCTTGATGTACCTGTACGTAATGACAACACGCCAGCAAGATACTGGTGTAGTGAGTGCCCATCTCTAGATACTGTTTTTTCGAGAGGATGCTTCTTCTCGAGTAACCTCGGTCCTAATACCTGCACAAGAATGAACGAGCCAGAGCTTGCGGCTAATCGTTTCAAACCTCGAAAGAGACGAGTCTGCACCTTATCTGCTACTCCCTGCTACAGATATGAACCTCGCTGCCCCGCCAAGTATGCCACTAGTGTGTATCTCCACTAGAGGAATGACAATGAGCCATCTGGTGCTCCCAATATCTCTGCTATACCATCTCTGTTGTGCCACCTCTAGAGAAATGAGCCTGCTCTTCTATTAATGAGATTACTCATGCTTCCCATTCCGAGCGTACTGATTGCTCCGCTATTGGCCGTCTTATGACTGCCCATGCCCATAACTCCTGCTGATCCGGCTCCGTCTTAGAGGTTCTACACGAATCATCCACTACAGACGCTACTATATCCTTGCGCCTCTACCTAGTCATAATTAAGTAGTTGGTGCACAGCCAACAAATAGCAGGGCACACTTATTTGGTTCAAGGAAATCGAAATACAACCACGTTGAAGTTGAACAGTGTTCAGCAATATTAGTTCTCTCAGTATCGACGAAAGCTTTTCACTTTGTATTGCATTATCGGTCAGGTAGAGAATAAAAGTTGAGCATGTAGTCGATGATACGCAGCACAAGCATTAACATGAAAGCTCGAAGGTGTTACTTCTAGGAAAGAGGAGCAGTTTTTCAGATCAAATGTAACTTCTAGGGAGATGCAGACACTGTCCAGCTACTTCTTGCTAGCTATTTAGATGCCAGCAACTGCAAGTGCCATACCCTCAAGCCTTAAGTCTCCTTTGCCTCAGCAACTGCGTCGAAGGTCACGATGTTTCTCTCCTTGATCGTGGAGAAAGCATCGTGACACGATATCAGCTCTCTCAATTCGTGCCTGACAGTGAATAGATTAGAGACTTGATCTTGAACGGATGTCCAATGTCTAAAGTAGAAATCTCGAAGTTTGAAAGTTTGAAATTTCGAATGAAATTCCATTTTTCCTGGCCAATCCTCGAAAAAAATTCAATTTATCGACTTTAGTTCAAATTCATTTTCTGATGGCGAGCTCTTCTCTCGATCATGGAAGTGGTTGGAAACTGAGTTTTAGTGTCATGTGTGAGGCTCAAACATGAGGGAACCGCTACTATTTGGTCTAGCTCTAGTAGTAGATATGCATCACTTACTGTTGATGTATATGCATGACTTTTTGAGAGTTTCAAGATTTAAGCTAAGAAAATGGCTATCCTCAAACTTCATCATCTGATCTGTTCAACAGAAACCTACTACGAACCAACATCAACAGTATGCGCGTCATCGTCTTACTGTAGTTGCCTTTTGTACCATTCTCCATTAGTGGGGTTATGGATAGTAAAAGTGTCTTCACATCACCCCTTATCCTCATAATGTTCTACCACATAGCTCTATTAGTCAATCGGTATGGAGAGGCTAGGCTAGGTTATGTAGCTTGTAGGCTATGTAGCTTGTACAGCTTAGGCTAGGTATAGTCTCGGCGGTATGATTATCTTCAAAAAAAGTTCCCATCATAATCAGCGTTGTTCGGACCCTGGGGTGCTGAGCGAGCTCCTGGCTTGACAGCTCGTATATCCATCGTTGGTTTTCGTCGGACAGATGGGCCAGGGCCTCGTCTAATAGCAGAGCTCGGGGTTTGTTAGCGATGTCCCACCAAGATCACGCTACTCATTTCACACTAGCGCTCATCCATCGATGACCTTGCGGTTTTCAAGTTCAACCACGTGACTATGATCCTTACTCACTTCAGATATTCAGAGCAGTATTAAGAACAACTTCTGGCGGGTTACTTCTATCTGCTTCTAGTTCATGCTTCCTATACCTACAACCAGTACCAAGCCAATCCAATCTTGTCAGAACATGCTCTAAAAAGGTAAGGTCGTGGAAGGCTCTAGTCTTCGTCGTGACCCTGCCTCTCTTCTGTAGAGAAGCACTTCTTCTACTTTTAAGACTCTGAAAGTCTCGACTTACTCAAGTTAGTAAGTAGATGCTCTTGCTTTTGATGCTATTGCTAGACTTCTGAAATCCATAAGTTTGGCCAGCCAGCAGTGTGCAACCATCAGACGTTGTAATTCCCCTCCGGAGAGAACTTGCGCGACATCCACAGCAGTATCCAGACCAATACTTGAATCTTAGAGAGAGAGATATTAAGATGCAACTCATGTATTGATGCAGTGCTGTAACACTGCCTCCAACAAAATACACGTCGAATCACTTTCACTTTGAGAGAAAAAACCTCTCCTACAGAAAAAGCCAGCTGATAGATATGCTGCACGAAGCAACGCAGATGACCATGACGCCATGTAATGCCATTGCCACCGACCTTGTCTCAGAGTCTGTCATTGTTGCTGTAGTCTCTTTCAGAAATAACAACATCTGCTGAGAGCGGCCTATGCCCTCACCGTCTTTTTCAATAACAACATATGCTACAACTTCTTCTCAATCTCATCCCCTCTATGAAATTCGTCTTCGGCATAATTTTCCTGTTCATCCATGAAGTCTGGCGGTGATCTTGCAGCTCCTCCACTGTTGAAAGAATCGTCATAGTTGTAGCCTCCAGCGCCACTGTTGCTGGCTCCGCCGACCACAAACTCTTCGTCATCATCGACGTAGTCCCGCAACCAATTCCGCTTCAGAATTCTCATTGCGACGCCTCTAGAAGCATTGGTGCTTGACTTAGAAAGGCAAAGCGAAGCAACATCATATTCATAAGTAACGGTAAACATCAACACGCATCGTGATGATTGAATATTCTGCAGCATCTGCTCTATATACAAGCTATTCATCGTTGCATTGAGAAAAAACTCAACAAACTCCGACGCTAATTCTAATTGTACAGCTACAGCTAGAGCCACGACTAATCATATAAATCGCAAGAGAGAGAAGTGTTGCTCTTAACATTGGAAGAGCCTCCTGCTCCCCCTCCGCTGTTTCGCCCATACGTCGAGGAACTACTAGAAGAAGACGCTTCTTTGGCTCTGCGCTTGCCTTCCAGACTGAGTCGTACTTTCTTCAACGCCGTATAAATTTCCCGGTCAGAATAGGCCGAGCTAGACTCTGGAAAACAAATTGCTTCTCGGAAGGTCATAGGATACGGCAAGCCAGGTCCTCTTTGAGGTATCAAGTAGGGCAAACGCTGATGCTCATTTTGCAAATCGCGTCTCCTGGATGCTGCATTCAATTTCGATGTCCCGGATCTACATCCTCTCGTGGAGGTTTTCATTACAGACACTGTTGTGGTTCCAGAACTCCTCCAATTGCTGGATCGCACGTGGATGAGTCCCAAACATCACAGAAATCCGCCGGCCGTGAGTGATTAGAGGGTAGGGAATGGACATCGATCATTATGGACATTAACCGTGGAATGTTGACCTCCTTCTATCTAAAAGTAGGAGCAGATGTGAAGTAGAAGAAATCGAGGTAAGTTGGTTCGTTGTAGAACCTGCTTCCGTACTATCAGTTTGTCAAGTAAAAATTCTAAATCTAATTCATCAATTTCAGATCTTCCAGTTAATATGGTTCAACGAACTTCATAAGAAATAAAATATCCCAACTCTCGGTTTGCTCACAGGGTAAGCGGTAGTCCTCCATCCGAGGTCTTGGATCCGCAATATCTGGCCTCGGTTTTCCGCCACTATGGATGCCATTCGCCTAAAGCACTGCTGCATCTCGCTGGCAGAGCAACGACTATTAAACATCACACAACTTTCGTAGAAGACCATGATTTTTTGGTTGTGTGGGTATTCTCTTTCTCTCCAGAAGAGGAGGTCGATGAAAAATATCAATAGAAGCATGTGCTTCGCTCTCTCTCTCTTCTTCGAATCTATTGCTTGAAGGGATACATCGATCCATCTACGTGACTAAAAAGATTTCCGTCAACGGGGAGTTCAACCTGTCAGGTGTGTCGCGTTCCAAGTGAGTGTGTTTTCGTAACTTCTGATCCATCACATTCACACTGAACGGAGCAAGTAATGTTGCGTGACCATCGTTCAAAGATGATCATGATGAACACAACACAGAGGTTGTCACTCATCATATTTCACACCAGTAGCAGCACAACGTCGCTTTTACTCAGGTGCGCCAGCAGCTGTCCAAGCTTGTCTTTCTTGATTTTTTTGTTCAGGATCGTACTAGGATTAGACCTTGTTGCCGATATTAATCGTTCTACTGTCAACATGTCGCGGCACCTCTTGTGTAGCTATAAATGTCTACTTTTGAGCATCTTGAGAGCCATGATTTTCCCTGTCTTGCCGAGATTAATACGATTGCGAAGACAGATACGTATAATTAACGATCAAAGGGTACTATAGGGAGGAACATGAACATCAATATCTTCATGAGTAAGCCTTAATAGAAGGATCACAGCCTGTTGTATCAACATCAAGAACATCATTATAACCTGATCCACCTCCCCCAAGTGACTTACTGGGAAGTCCAATCATTAAACAAGTATCAGAGTCCGCGAGTCTCATCGGCAGGCTGAGCTTAGTACTCCTCTATCATTCTACTCGCTACGAACCCGCCGATTTTAAAATGATCGAGAAACTAGGAGGCTGAGGGAATGACTACTCGACCACCAGAAGGATCCTCTTGTTCCGCGCACGTGTCAACCTCTTCCAAGATAGCACCCAGTCACTCCAGAAAACGCCCATTCGCTCTAGAAATGAGCACACACAGGCGAGTAAGACGATCACGCGGCTCTAGATTCATCTTCATCCATCTGCTATTCCTATTGGGGATCTGGTTGGACAAAGGGAAAGAGAAATGACAACTTATCGCTCATATTCCAACATAACTCATAGGCGCATGGTAGTGGTCAACATTATAGATATCAGAATAAGCATAGCTAGTTACTAATATTGATAGATTATGATTGGGTACATACCACAGCCGGAGCAATAGAAACTACACAGAGCAGAAGGCTCGTGTATGCATACATGTAAGTACTAGTTGCACCAAGGAGGCTTTTAGCATGTAACTCTGTTACTACAGCCATACTACACATATACTTTTGCACAAGTCGAAATGTGCCGACTGTAATCAGCCGGCAGTGGGTCCCCAGCTTTTGAATTGACTTAATGGGCGATAAAAAGTCATTTTTTCGAGGATTGGGGATTTCAATTTGACATTTGAAGTCTAAAGCTAGCCATTATCTATTTACAATGTCGCCCTAGTATTCCTATTGACACAATAGATGTAGGACGCTCATGATTCGTAGCAATGACGGCCTCGCTTTCGATTGCAATGAAGATGAAGTCTCAGATATAGAGATTCTTGGATGCTCATTTCTATTGTTACTCCACGATAAGGTAAGGAACATTGAACATCCAGAATTTGAATTGAGTTCATAGGTCATAAAAAACCATTTTTTCGAGGATTGGCGTTCTTTCAATTTGAATTCTCTATCTAGGAAACATGGAACGCATGCACAGTTCCAATAGTATCATCGTACCAAGCCAAAAACAGACTAGACCTAAGAAGCAATGTCTACGATGATGATGATGATGATGATGATGACGATCATGATGGTGATGATGATGATCATAGTGACGATGCTGATGATTATGCTATTCTACTATTGAAACGATGCAGAACTACCACAGTTCCTGGTCGTGTTTTTGCTCACTTTCAAATAATGGCTGTGCTGAACCCTGATAAGAAAACCGATATAACCGATCTGGATGGGACTGGAAACTCAAGGCCCACATTAGATTTCTAGCCAACATCGCTAAGGATGCGCATTCACTCGCCTTCTTAACGCACATACAAGCACTCGTTTCCTCCTCTACGCAATCCGTTGCCTTCTTAACGCACATACAAGCACTCAATTCCTCCTCCACGACTACCTCCTCTCGATCATAAGAAGAAGAAAACTGCCCATCCGCGTAGCCAGAAGAGAGAACTCCTGATGAGCATCTAGCGTCCTCCTGTCAGCGGCGCCCGCCGCCACCACGTAGTCTTCGCCTGTTAAACTTTCTAGCTTTCTTTTCCATGTGCTCAACCACATTCAGAAAAATCCTGGGCAGAGAAAGATGTTTCAGAGTCGGGGTAGAGGGCAGAGGTGTTCTTTGTGTTTGGTTGAACTTGGATTTAGATTTGGATTTGGTTTCGAAATGATTCGTGCGTAGTCGTAGGAGTGCGATGCATTTGAGTCGACATAACATATAAGGCTGAAATATCTTTGATGTCATTCACATATCCTTTGATACTAGAAAGCGTCTCTGTGGGTGTGGATGGAATAGTAATTCGGAGCCAGTGCATTTGCTAGTACTACTAAGGTGATCCTGTGGCTAGTATGATGACACGCTGTAATTGTGCAACCATGATAGATGTTGGAAGTTCATGACATTAACTGGCCCAGCGTCTGTGCATATATGTGTATCTAGATGAGTGAATTTCTGCCGTTGCTCATGTGGTAGCCCTCTAGCAGAGACATGAACATGATAGATTAGATTGTGCTCTATTTGTTGAGGTCAATGAGGACCCACCTCCAGTCAGTAGTGCCTCGTTTACAATTACTACTTGCTACTTCGAGTACTACGCTGCTCTCAGATACTAAAACTGAGACAACGATGTGGTCGCTGTCGGACTGCTTAATGTGGAGTACAAACAATGCTTCTCTCTCTCTACATCATATGACATTGATAATGACAACTCTAGCGCTCCACGTGATAATACCTGTACTTTTACTTACTGGATGTTGATGCACGTAATGATAACATGCCCACAACCGTAGTGACACGCTTCTACTTTTACTTATTTGATGTACCTGTACGCAATGACAACATGCCAACAAGATACTGGTGTAGTGAGTGCCCATCTCTGGATACTGTCTTTTCGAGAGGATGCTTCTTTTCGAGTAACCTCGGTCCTAATACCTGCACAAGAATGAACGAGGCAGAGCTTGCGGCTAATCGTTTCAAACCTCGAAAGAGACGAGTCTGCACCTGATCTGCTACTCCCTGCTACAGATATGAACCTCGCTGCCCCGCCAAGTATACCACCAATGTGTATCTTCACTAGAGGAATGACAAAGACAATGAGCCATCTGGTGCTCCTAATATCTCAGCTATAGCATCTCTGTTGTGCCACCTTTAGAGAAATGAACCTGCTCTATTAATGAGATTACTCATGCTTCCCATTCCGAGTGTACTGATTGCTCCGCTATTGAGCGTCGTATGACTGCCCATGCCCATAACTCCTGCTGATCCGGCTCCGTCTTAGAGGTTCTACACGAGTCATCCACTACAGACGCTACTATATCCTTGCGCCTCTACCTAGTCATAATCAAGTAGTTGGTGCACAGCCAGCAAATAGCAGGGCACACTTATTTGGCTCAAGGAAATCGAAATACAACCACGCTGAAGTTGAACAGTGTTCAGCAATATTAGTTTTCTCAGTATCCACGAAAGCTTTTTACTTTGTATTGCAATATCGCTCAGGTAGAGAATAAAAGTTGAGCATGTAGTCGATGATACGCAGCACAAGCATTAACATGAAAGCTCGCTGGTGTTACTTCTAAAAAAGAGGAGCAGTTTTTCAGATCAAATGTAACTTCTAGGGAGATGCCGACACTGTCCAGCTACTTCTTGCTATTTAGATGCCAGCAACTGCTAGTGCCACACCCTCAAGCCTTAGATCTCCTTTGCCTCAGCAGCTGCGTCGAAGGTCACGATGTTTTTCTCCTTGATCGTGAAGAAGGCATCGTGACACGATATCAGCTTTCTCCATTCGTGACTGACAGCGAATAGATTCGAGATTTGATCTTGAACGGATGTCCAATGTCTAGAGTAGAAATCTCGAAAGTTCAAAGTTTGAAATTTCGAATGAAATTCCATTTTTCCTGATCAATCCTCGAAAAAAATTCAATTTATCGACTTTAGTTCAAATTCATTTTCTGACGACGAGCTTTTCTCTCGATCATGGAAGTGGTTGGAAGCTGAGTCTTTGTGTCATGTGTGAGGCTCAAACATGAGGGAACCTCTATGATCCAACATTATAGGTGGATTTGGTTTAGCTCTAGGAGTAGATATACATCACTTACTGTTGATGTATATGCATGACTTTTTGAGAGTTTCAAGCTTTAAGCTAAGAAAATGGCTATCCTCAAACTTCATCATCTGTACAACAGAAACCTACTACGAACCAACATCAACATTATGCACGTCATCGCCTTACTGTAGTTGCCTTTTGTACCATTCTCCATTAGTGAGGTTATGGATAGTAAAAGTTTCTTCACGTCACCCCTTATCCTCATAATGTTCTACCATATAGCTCTATTAGCTAATCGGGATGGAGAGGCTAGGCTAGGTTACGTAGCTTGTACAGCTTAGGTTAGGCATCGTCTCGGCGGTATGATTATCTTCAAAAGAGTTCCCATCATAATCAGCGTTGTTCGGACCGTGGGGTGCTGAGCGAGCTCCTGGTTTAACAGCTCGTATATCCATCGTTGGTTTTCGTCGGACAGATGGGCCAGGGCCTCGTCTAATAGCACAATTCGGGGCTTGTTAGCGATGGCCCACCAAGATCACGCTACTCATTTCACAGTAGCGCTCATCCATCTATGACCTTGCGGTTTTCAAGTTCAACAACGTGATTATCATCCTTACTCAATTCAGAAATTCAGAGCAGTATTAAGGACAACTTCTGGCGGGTTACTTCTATACCAAGCCAGTCCAATCTTGTCACAACATGCTCTAAAAAGGTAAGGTCGTGGAAGGCTCTAGTCTTCGTCGTGACCCTGCCTCTCTTCGGTAGGGAAACACTTCTTCTACTATTAAGACTCTGACAATCTCGACTTACTCAAGTTAGTAAGTAGATGCTTTTGCTTTTGATGCTATTGCTAGACTTCTGAAATCCATAAGTTCGGCCAGCAAGCAGTGTGCAACCATCAGACGTTGTAACTCCCCTCCGGAGAGAACTTGCGCGACATCCACAGCAGTATCCAGACCAATACTTGAATCTTAGAGAGAGAGATATTAAGACGCAACTCATGTATTGATGCAGTGCTGTAACACTGCCTCCAACAAAATGAACGTCGAATTACTTTCACTTTGAGAGAAAAAACCACTCCTACAGAAAAAGCCACCTGATAGATATGCTGCACGAAGCAATGCAGATGACCATGACGCCATGTAATGTCATTGCCACCGGACTTGTCTCAGAGTCTGTCATTGTTGCTGTATTCTCTTTCAAAAACAACAACATCTGCTGAGAGCGACCTATGCCCTCACTGTCTTTTTCAATAACAACATATGCTTCAACTTCTTCTCAATCTCATCCCCTCTATGAAATTCGTCTTCGCCATAATTTTCCTGTTCATCCATGAAGTCTGTCGGTGATCGTGCAGCTCCTCCACTGAAAGAATCGTCATAGTTGTAGCCTCCAGCGCCACTGTTGCTGGCTTCGCCGACCACAAACTCTTCGTCATCATCGACGTAGTCCCGCAATTCCGCTTCAGAATTCATTGCGACGCCTCTAGAAGCATTGGTGCTTGACTTAGAAAGGGAAAGCGAAGCAACATCATATTCATAAGTAATGGTAAACATCAACACGCATCGTGATGATTGAATATTCTGCAGCATCTGCTCTACATGCAACCTATTTATCGTTGCACTGAGAAAAAACTCAACAAACTCCAACGCTAATTCTAATTGTACAGCTACAGCTAGAGCTACGCCTAATATGAATCGCAAGAGAGAGAAGTGTTGCTCTTAACATTGGAAGAGCCTCCTGCTCCCCCTCCGCTGTTTCCCCCATACGTCGAGGAACTACTAGAAGAAGACGCTTCTTTGGCTCTTCGCTTGCCTTCCAGACCACTGAGTCGTACTTTCTTCAACGCCGTATAAATTTCCCGGTCAGAATAGGCCGAGCTAGAATGTGGAAAACAAATTGCTTCTCGGAAGGTCATAGGATACGGCAAGCCAGGTCCTCTTTGAGGTATCAAGTAGGGCTAACGCTGATGCTCATTTTGCAAATCGCGTCTCCTGGATGCCGTAGATCTACATCCTCTCGTGGAGGTTTTCATTAGACACTGTTGTGGTTCCAGAACTCCTCCAATTGCTGGATCGCACGTGGATGAGTCCCAAACATCACAGAAATCCGCCCGCCGTGAGTGATTAGAGGGTAGGGAATGGACATCGATCATTATCGACATTGACCGTGGAATGTTGACCTCCTTCTATCTAAAAGTAGGAGCAGATGTGAAGTAGAAGAAATCGAGGTAAGTTGGTTCGTTGTAGAACCTGCTTCAGTACTATCAGTTTGTCAAGTAAAAATTCTAAATCTAATTCATCAATTTCAGATCGTCCAGTTAATATGGTTCAACGAACTTCATAAGAAAAATATCCCAACTCTCGGTTTGCTCACAGGGTAAGCGGTACTCCTCCATCCGAGGTCTTGGATCCGCAATATCTGGCCTCGGTTTTCCGCCACTATGGATGCCATCCGCCTAAAGCACTGCTGCATCTCGCTGGCAGAGCAACGACTATTAAACATCACACAACTTTCGTAGAAGACCATGCTTTTTTAGTTGCTTGGGTATTCTCTTTCTCTCCAGAAGAGAAGGTCGATGAAAAATATCAATAGAAGCATGTGCTTCGCTCTCTCTCTCTTCTTCGAATCTATTGCTTGAAGGGATACATCTACGTGACTAAAAAGATTCCCGTCAACGGGGAGTTCAACCTGTCAGGTGTGTCGCGTTCCAAGTCAGTGTGTTTTCGTACCTTCTGATCCATCACATATACACTGAACTAAAGTCGCTTTTACTCCGGTACGCCAGCAGCTGTCCAAGCTTCTTGTCTTTCTTGATTGCCTTGTTCTTGATGCTCATCCTCATTTCGCTATTGTAGTGTCAAGTTCAATCGTACTTCGATATTTTGCGTGTTTTTGCTTGATTGAGTAAGTAGAATGTTAGTTCGTTGGAAACTGGGATGCCTATTCTGCTAGTGAAATGCTCCTCTTGTTTCCATTCGACGAGACAGAGCAAATTGTTACTCGAAGTCTAACCCAAGATGAAAATGACTAGAAAATTACTGAATTCTGTGAATCATCACTGTTTACAGGTTCATTCGCTATGCATCTTTTGGTCACCATTTGCCTTTTCTGTACATCAGACCTAGATATGAAGAAGATTGCTGTTGTAACATCAAAGAAACACTACCTCCTAGTACCCCTACTTCTAATCGAAATCGTCTTCCTCCTAAAAATTTACCTTCAACTCTTTTTGAGTTCTTTCACCTCTAACTATGAAACGATAGAAGAGCTATAAATTCCTTCCGCCTTCTCCTTCTCCTCGTGGAGGATGGCTTTGTTTGCCGTAAGGACGATGCAGACGTAGAGGAGGACACTCGAAATTAGCATAAGTAACCACACTCGGTACTTGGCGATCATCTAAGGTCGTAGGGATGTGGAGGGATGAGGAGGGAGGTGGTGGAGATGTTGGAGGGTGTTGTGGTAATGCGGAGGACGGTGGTCGTGCTTGAGTTGTCGGTAAATGAAGAGGATGTAAGTAGTAGTAAAAATCAAAATTCAAGTTGAGTCAGTGTGTCATCTACCGAGGACTGTGGTCGTGACTGTCACCTATTACAACGTTGCATCTATTAGAAGTGTGTACCCCTAGCGTCGTGAGGTCCGTCGCATCTCGGTAGATTCTACAGTCTCGATGCGCAGTGAAGACACTTCCTTTTCCACTGACCACGATCGCACTTGTGATTAGAACGCACTTCAGTCTATCCTCATCCCATATCTATTTCTATTTTTCTACCTACCTAAGAACGCTTGTTTGGTATTGGTTTACATGGGCTAAAAGAGTAATTCTTCAATCTACCTAAAAGCCGCTGGGCTTAGATAGAAAAACACCCCACAGATGGGCTATCTAAAAGAAAATGAAAAAGATGCATCAAGCATTGAGGTCTTAATGTGATTCCCGCACACTCGATGACGCCACCCACGATACAGTGATCCAAGTAGAGATACGCACTTTGTATCAACATGCCTCCGCGAACCTCCGAATACTGGCAGTAGACGTTGTCTGAGGTAGTCACGTGACCGTGGACGGAGGAAGGAAGTTAGAGTGGGAGGAAGGAAGTTAGAGTCTGCGGAGGTGTCGCGGCAAAAGGATCTTCAGTTTGAGGAGGTGTCGCGGCAAAAGGATCTTCAGTTTATGGGATGAACGAGGGAGCAGTTGGAGGAGGTGTCGCGGCAAAAGGATCTTCAGTTTATGATTGTTTATGTTTGTTTACCTCTAGACTGACATGTACTAAATGTTGACAATGCAATTGCTATTCGAAAAACTGTGACATAAGCGAGGAAAGTACTCTAAGAGCGATGCAGCTATAATCTTAGAACTAGTCTCGAATTTTTTACTTGCCTATTTCAAGGTTTCGATTAATTGATGAGTACATAACCTTTCGACATGTGAATCACGCCTCCATGCGAGTAGATACCGCCTTCAACACGACTCTGGTGCAGACTGAGCTCGCCAACACCATCAATACTCCCTTTGACGATGGACTGGTGGGCGTGGGTGCAAGATTGTGACAAAAAGATTGCGATGGTTTAGGGGGAAGAAGAAGAAAGACGTTGGGAGTGTTTATCAAAAGAATTGGAGAGTCGCGAATTGGAGGAGAGCCGCGATCCAACCAGGAGTTGTTTGTCGTACTTGATTCCCATGTTGAGAACATAAAAATGGCACTCTTCAGATGAAACAACAAGGAGATCATGTAAGAAAGAGGACAAAAATAAAAGGAGGGTACATCATCCAATCCCACGTTTGCATCGAAATACAAGTTGTTGATGACAGTGTTGGGCTCGAAATTGCGCGACTCATCCACGATCATATCATTAGAGGTTGCAAAATTACATTCCTCAGATCATCCTCCAACATGACCTTTTTTCTACTAGAGAATGATTTAAATATAGGACTCCGTATTTCCGACTGGAAAAGAAGTGAAGGATGGCAATGCGGGATGCAATTTGGTAACCCTTAATATCAGGTGGTTTGTCTGCTGCTCTAGCTTCCGCCAAGTCTGCTGGAGCTGGCTTTATTGCTGTCGGACTCGTACTATTTACTTCCGAAGCGCCATCGGCACCGTTGTGGTACCTTGATGAAGGAATGATGAAAGAATGACTTCAACATCATACCATCTATCTCTATCACCATCGGCACCGTTGTGGTACCTTGATGGTGATAGTGAGATAGATGGTATGATGTTGAAGATCAAGATGTGTGAGCGTGAAGAAGATATGAGAACTTTAGAGCTCTCCTCCTCGTCGATCATTTTCACAAAGTCCAAATGCAAGATTTTTCAGGATGAAAATGAATACCAAATCCGTTCGTGCGATATCCTTTTGACGTTCGTCAAAAGATCGTAAGTCTCCTCCTTCCCGTTGACTTGGACGATCCGTGTCGTCATATTTCGTTCATGATATTGTGGGACGCCATCTTTTTCGGGAAAATTAGAAAAGTTGAGATTAGCCTCTCCAGCAGTAGAGGGTTGCAACGCACAAAACGATCCGGCTGATGATGTTGTTCATGTGAAATTGCAACAAGAAGGATCAAAATCAATAAGGTTGAAATCTATCACCTGGTAACACCTTCTTGTTGCAGTACTCAATATAACAAAATCGCTACCTCCGCCTGCATTACGAATACGATGCACCTGCTAGAGACATTCAATACTGGAACGCATAGAATAAGCCGAAAAAGATGGCATGTGAGCTGTGTCCCTGTCGCGGTTCAACATAACCGCCTAAGATTACATAGAAGTTTCTTAAAAATCAGTCTTCGTGGCACCTTTTCCAGTTTTTCCTTCATTGCGTCCTGGTGGAGCTCGTAGTCAGAGGCGTGATCAGAACTTGTAAAGCCAATGATTTTTGACTCTTCTTGGTCCTGTATCGCCTGATCTCGTTTGTCTAGTGTCGCGCCAGTCTGGACTGGGGATTAGAGGCTTCATGTGTCAAGGTGCCTCTTGTATAGCGTTACGAATCTATGTATGAGGCCATGCAGTGTAGAGGTGTGGTTCTGATTGGTTGTTTCTAGTTGCATATGAAAATGAAAAGAAGAAGGATAAATTAATAAGGCCTAATATAAGTTAGTAGTTGTAGTTCGGCTTTCTTGCAATTATACTAGTACTACGTCTAATACAAGAACTTGTAATTTTTATCTTCACACTCATTTATATTACGTCTAGCTGTCATCTACTGATAAGCGTCGACTTTTTACACTTTAAATAGTACTTTGACGTAAAGATGCCATAAAGAATCTTGCTCTTGCTACTCGCCGTCGCCGAGGCTGAGGATGAATCTGTTGAGGTGGCTGAAGGAGCTCCGAATCCGACCGGGTGCCTAGGAACGAGCACATGTTCGACAGTTTCGTGTCGGTCTTCTTCTCTCCTATGACCTGCGAGCTTCCTGTGGTGAACGACACGGGTCAAAGCTACTTCTTCAGTCTGATGTTGAACTCGTCCTTGCAGTTCTCCTTTTCCTGCGTCTCGGTCTCTAGCTAGTATAACATATCCTCCAGCAAGGTCTGGGCCAGTAGCTGATGATGGGAGCATGCTGTTCCTTCTATCACTAGTTGTACCTCCTACTCCAAGCTCATCAATACGAAGATGTTGATCCTGCATTTCGTGTGCAGAATCAGAGCTCAACAGAGGGGGCGCAGGAATAAATGCATCTTCAACAACTGCTGACTTCTCGACTGTAGACGCTGGGATTGTTGAAGCTGTACCTTTCTGTTTTGGCACCTCACTTGATGACGATGTGGTCTTGTCTTCCACTAAGGATAAATGCCCTGAGCGAAGACGTGTTAGAGGTTAAGGAATTACATTCCTCAGAACATCCCTGACTTCTTTCCTACTGAAAAAAGAGTTACAGGGATGCTAGTGAAGGATGGAATGTGGGAACCCGTAAGCGTGGCTCCGTTCTGCTCGCAGTTTCTGCCAGAGCCACTACATGAGGATCACCATGATTCTTTGCACCACGAAATGATGAGGGCGAGTCCTTGTCGTCGTGATCCTCGATGTGATTCCCTTTCTTGCTGCTAGACGAAGAAGACGAGGACCACGACACGGCTGTTCTACTTGTACTAAGAGAATCAGAAGGTGGAGTGGACGACTCTACTTCTATTCTTCTAGTTTTACTGGTAGACAAAGGCAAAGTAGGTTGTTGATGTCGAGTACTAGCCACTTCTGCTGTTGTTCTCAGGATGTTATCCGCACTAGCCGCCTCCTGATCTAGGAATACTGCTGGCGCTTGTGATGGTGATGATGATGATGATGATGATGATGATGAGGATTCTACTTTTACAACTGGTGCGAGCTCGGCTACTTCTCGAAGTCCATCTCCTCGAACTACAACATCCTGCGTTCTTCCACCTTCACGTAGTTGTTCGTCTTTCTCCTTCTCTTTTTCTATAAAGTCAAGCCTTGCTTCCTGCAATCTTGCTATCTTTTGCATCAGAACTTTGTCTAGGTCCTCTTCATTTTCACTTCCACTTGCATCATTAGATGAATGAGAACCACGAGAACCACTTGAGGATGTAGAATTAGAGCCCTCCCTAGTTCATCTCTCCTGTCGAGCAGGAGTAGATGATCCCTCAAGATAGATCATAATGCCCTATAACTAAGATCCTTGAGTGATCTCTACAGAGATGGATTACAGATGATGTAGGCTCCTTAAGCTCCTTAAATGTAGTGCTCCTCAAAGTTGTTGTTCCGACGTTTTCAACCGCACTCTCGCTAAACCTCTGTGGGTCGTCGGCGGTTGCACCCGCCAGCATCGGAGTCTGACCTGCGGCTCTCCGCTCATATTCTGCCGACGCAATGCCTCCTCCACTACCTCCGTCTACAATGAATGAGCCCTCTTCTTGAAAGTTTAGGGCCAAGACGGCGCTCGTCCCCGTGTTGATCATAACGAAGAAAAGTAAATGAACGCATATTCGAGAAGCAATGTAGTTGACGGCGCAGCTACTAGTACACGTCAGACTGTTCAACAACATCCTTGTCCTCCCAACACCTGTTCTGCTGCTCATTCTTTTTTCCCCACTGCTTTCTCCACGACCAACCTCCCTCGTCTTCATACTACTGCATCTTCTTATTTTACCCTCCTTGATGTTACCCTCCGGCAAAGCGGTCATCCGCTTCGTGAGACATGCTGGTCCCCGGTGCCGACATGTACTACTAGAAGTACAAGTATTTCTAGAGAATTTGTTCATCCATGTTGGTTTCATTATATTTCTGCCTCAACATTCTTGAAATGGAGGACTAATTTGGTTTTGATGTCGAAAGTTTCTTTTGGTTCGCAGTTTTTTTTTGGTTCTGTGGCTTCTCATGAGACATTTTCATTTTTTGTTTTGAATTGTCGGGTTCTACTGCTTGTATGCTAGTACTTCCTGTAGTGGTACTAGTACTAGTTGGAGATTATATCAAACCATTTTTTATGCACGTGCAGGTGCACCTATCCAGTTTAACACTTTGTTCACCGTTTTTTGTTTTCACGTCTGTGATTCTCTGGTATTCAAGTTTGAACACAGCAGTGGGGTCAGAGACAACACGCACATGGTTATCGTTATGGCTATGGGAGTAGAAATCATGATAAAAGTAAACTCAGACATTCACTACCACTACCATTTTTTCTTAGTTCTTGTTCGAAGCTATCTATCATTCAGCGTTCTCATTATTTTTCAAAGATCCATTGTCGTAAGTCCGTAGCAGATAACCCAGGTTCAGCGATATTTTAATGTTCCAGATACTTTAGGAAAAGGCTTAGGACAGCAGTTTCCACTAACAAACTCCCAATATGTTCCATCCTGCTTTTTTGCAAGCCGTGAGGTGTAATTTACACATCAGAGTGGGTGCATTAGAAGCATCTAGATCGTATGGAGTAAGCCATTTTTCGCCCTCCTTCTTCTCCTCGTCAGTTACGTAGAGAATATCGCCGGCTACTGAAAGAGGTTCCAAACTTCTATTTGGTGTAGCAGGACTACTTGGACTTCCATCCGAAGCATCATCTACATCCGCATCAGCTACACTTCTAAAGAAAGTAGGAAAAGCCGCCGGTCGGCCTCCTCGTTCAACTAAGAGTGACAGCTTGTGCCATGAGGTGGTTCTAGTTGTTTCCTGTTGGTTGTGTATTCCTGCATCCGGGCCAGCACCCAGTACACAAAGTTGCCATAGACGCCGCCTCTCGTTCAAGTCCAACTGTGGCATCAGCGTAGCCAAATTTCCTCTGATTTCACCCTGTTTGTCCTTGCTCACTGATATTTGTTGAGCACTACTAGGTGGACCACTCTGCAGCGCGATCAATTCCGTGGCCTCTGCTAAGTCTAGTAATTGGCTGGCGGAATAGCGGCCGAAGTACGATGCGCAAATCTTCTCGATGGAGAGGTAGATAAAGTTGCATCGCAGCGCATTCTTAGGGGTTGAAAGTTGGCGTCTCTAGCTCGCACATCGATGACTTTCCCACTTGAAGAAGCCATAGAGATGCTCTTAGATGAGAGGTCAACTTCCAACCCTTAATATTCGCGGCAGCAGACTCGCAACTAATGCGGGCCAGCTGGTTCAATTTGTGAGGGAAGTCATTAGAAAAGGCTGCAATTTTTTCACTTTTGGTTTTCCTTTTCGCAAGAATTTCACTTTAATCAAACTCCATGTTCTTGTCGATCAAGCTGGCCAAGGGAACTCTCCTTCTACTGAAAATTCATCAAATTAATAGAAATACTTCCTTAGTACGGTGTGGTCACGGTGTGGGTAAAAAACTGTACGCCATAAGTTTCCGCCAGACATACTTGGATTCTTGCGCAGCAGCCTCGATCTCGTTCACAAACTCCGCAACCTGTTTCTCAGAACAGACCACGCCTTTGCGACCGCTCCATTCAAGATCGAGTTTGATCTCAGTAACATTAGCATCGGTGGCAGAGAAGGTAAAGGTATGAAGATAGATTATGAAGAAGAACCCTAATATAATAAGTACTTGCTACTTTTTAATCTCATGTCTCACTCGATCCTTAAAAAAAGATTTCCCGCTCTTCTCTTGGGCCCCCTTCCGCTTCTTTTCGTCTGCTAGGTATCGTTGCATCCCGGCAACAAGTGTTGTTTGTGCCACCACGTCTGTAGTGGAGTCTAAAAGTGCAGCCGCTTCGTCCTCCACTGCGGTGTAAAGGAATTAGAAGTGGTTGTGCTGCCTCAAACTCGATATTATCAAAAACGATTTTACACCTAATTTTAATCAACCTTATGGTTATGTCGACGTTGCCGATAGCCATGGATGCTGATCAACGTGATGTCAACGTCAACGTCCACCACTACTCTAACAGTAACAGCGCACGCCTTAACGATAAGCGTGTCGCGACAGTGCTTCAAAACCCTTCGCAAAAACTCCAGGACCTAGTTCTTCCTTGTGCAACAGCATCTGCGTAGCTAGCGAATCGATAAATTAAAGGGCAGCAGTCAGGGCCCGCTGATGCTGAACGGAAGAGACCACCTTCAAAGTTCTCCCCTTTTCCCTTCATTTATTTCCCCTGTTGGTCCTCTCAAGAAGGGGTCGCCTCTTCGATCTCAGCGACCAACCTTACCTTAAACAAAGAGCCTTACATAAAGAGCCTTATCTAAAGAGCCTTAAATAAAGGGCCTTTACTTAGATGAAAGTTGATCCTTAAATAAAGAGCTCACGTTCTTCGGATGCTTCTTTTCGAAGATCTTGGAGATCCTTCCTAGGGAAGACGAACAGCAGCGCATCGAGCAAGTTAGGGATGCCATGAGCCAAGTTGTGTAAATTCTGCTCGAGAGGGTCCCGGACTAATGGCCACCAGTGATGCGATGGTACACGAGCACGCGCACAAAAGGGGATTAGAGTCCGTCGGGAGGTGATGTAGTTGTAGTGAGCTCGCATCTCACATCTTGAAATGGCACCAGTATAAGAATCCTATTCCCGGCTCCTTTACTGGTCGAGGAAGTCTGTCGTGCTGCCACAAGCTATGCCTCGTGCTTGTCGACCCAAAAGAATAAGTGTTTGCTCATCTTCTAGTTCTAATGGCATAAAATAACAATCTGCGCAACTCTCCGCGCATTCGGCGACGTTGGGGTTGCGGTGGTGGACGCAAGTAGATCATCTAGACGTCCGACCACAGCTCGCATGAGGTTCTCATCACTGTGGCCTATGTCCGCACACAAAGATAGAATCTCTAGTATTTGTGGTGGATAAAAGTGCTCGCATGTCTCGAAAAATCTCGCAGTCAGGGAATGCAGCAATGGCAGAGAGGGAGCAAGGAAATACGGTAAAGGGACTGTGCTGGACCCGTGGTTGAACGCGGCAGTCGTGCTAGATGAAGTACTCGAACTCGACCCTCCAGTGGACGTGAAAAAGGCATTGTCAGTGCTACCTTCAAAAAACACCGAGTTAGCATCTGCGTTTGCCCTTGTGCCACTGGTCCTGGTTCCACGAGGAGAGGGCAGTGCTGTAGAGCGGAAAGCTGAAGAAGAGCTGCTGATACTTCTTGTGGAACAACTTGAACTCGTAGTTGTACCTGAAACTGCACCGGGGGTACAACTAGTTGCACTTCTAGTGTCAAAATCGTCATCAATCGAGGAAAAAGTTTCAGGCTTAAAAGTAGCACCACTGGAAGAAGCGGAAGCCTTCGAAACTTCGCTTTGTAATAAGCTGGTCGACGATTCGAAGACGCCACTTCCCACACGATCCATCCTCCATCGCGGACCGGCAACGGGCTTGAAAAAAGTGTTAATTTCGGACCCCCGTTGTGACCACCCTCGGACACGACGTAATGTACTGATCACATTGTCGGCAGTGGGAATGAAGGAAGGGAAATCTCTCGAAATGGGAATGGAAAAGGGTTATCTTACTTGAATGACTTTCATGATGAAGATTGACATCGATTTTGTTTTTGATACCAAGAGCAGCACTAGCAGTTCTTGTTCTTCCCTTTCAACGAATAGAAACTTGAACTTCATACTCAAGGAGTCCTCTTGTAAGGTGGCAAATCGCGTGGCCAAGTTCAACGACTGCACGACCCCAGCAGCTCGCGGTCCCGACTGTTGCAACATGTTCGAAGTCTGCGCCGGAGCTCAAAAATCCGAACTTCTTCTTGATGAAAGCAGATCCTTCATTCTACTTTGAGTGCGACCGTCTTTTGTAGCAGATCTTCGTGAAGACGTTCGTATATTTCATATCGGAGCATTTACTTGTTCTCCTCTTGTCTCAAAATTCTCGTAGAAGATCGATTTTAAAGAGTGTTGATTGTTTTAGACTGTTGATCGTTTCAGACGAGAGATCCAGTACTAAATTTAAATCTTTCTAAAGGGATGATCATGAACTTCAGACACAGAAACAGACATCATCAGGGAACTAAAATAAAGGAGACCGCACAGTCCTGAGCCAGGATTGCTAGGCCATGCTCAAGTTCGAAAAGGACATCAACATTTTGCGTAGTAGTTGTATGCTACGAGAACTAGTGCTGTTCTTGTCAAGCAGTACGAGTAAGTATCATGATAGAAGCGAACAAGATTGAAACACAAATGTATCGTAACGAGAACGTCGAAAGATATTGTTAGAGGAGAGTCGACTTCCAGTTGAGAGTCTCTGCGACAACCACACCTGTCCGACCACGTAGTCTGAGAGAAGCCACTTAGTCTGAGAGAAGCAACAGATCTGACGGCAATTCAGATTCTACTCGTCCCTTGTGACCAATAAAGACGAAGAGACGCCGGTCAAAAGTGTAGTGAAACGTTTTTTGACCAATGAAGAAGAATAGACGGCCACACAAAAATGTCAGACTCTCCCTTTCGACCAGTAAGAATAGACAGCCAAAAATTCCCGCAAGACCATGTACTTGCGGCGAACGCGACCCAGCCCGAATGCCTTGTTCAACAGCCAACCAGTATACGTCGAGAGGTATGAAAGTACTAGCACAGATATGTCGAGGAGTATGAAAGTGCTACCTACCAAAAGAGGAAAAGTTCTTTGGTACTCGTACAAGAAAGTACTCGTCAAGTACTCAACAAGAATCTTCTGGGAATATCATCAAGATCAGGAATTCGAATATCTTATCTGAGTACTAGTATGACTCCATCTCGACCTACTTTCGCTTTCCGTGTCTGTCGTAAATATGCAGCCTGCAACTGGTCAAGGCAATCCTTGGTGATAAGAGCGATCGGATCCGTGGTAAGACGTGTCGAATCGTTGTTCTTCTTCAAGTACTGCAGCTCTGCTAGTCCACGAAAAGCGTCATCCATCGAAGCGACATAGATTGAAAGGTCATCTTTGAAGTTAGTACTCGATAGTTGTACGTAGTTCACGAGTCCAACTAAAAGTGCAATTACGTTTGAATCGAAGTCGAAGTATAAATATACACGATACAGAAAAATTATGTCGTTTGTGAATCATCGATTTTTACTTAGCCAACACAAACACAATCTGCTCGTCCTACTTCATAAGTGTATTGACACCTCCTCAAGTGGAGCTTTTCCTTTTCGCTGCTGCATTACTTTTTCAAAGACCCGACGACTTCGAAACTGATGGTAATCCGAAGTGACTAACAATACGCTCGTTCGCTTCCTCCCACGGCCTTTGCCGCTTCTTTTTCTTTCCTCGAGATCAAGAATGAAATCCGCTTGTAGAGCCTCAAGAATGAAATCCCGTGTATATTCTGCGTTTGTTTGCGTTGAAACGGAGTCGGTTTCGAGGAAGACGCGGAAAGCAGCTTGTTGTGAGTGGCCTGGAGAATCCTCTTGCAGATTATCCAGCATCATATCCCTGCTTCTAGTTAGACCACCTTCTTCACACGACTTTAATTCATTTGTCCCTGTAAAAATTAATCGATCTACTTCTCGTGGCGCATATCAAAGATGAGCAAATCTGTCGACTTTTCTGCTCAGTCAGGGTGGATTCTCTCTTAGCGAAAAACCTCCCCTGTAGTTGTTGAGGAAATATTGACACTGAGATAATATCATTATGAGCCTAGCCTTAAGGTAGACAGAGGCTGGTCCTCCTTGCCCTTGGCACCACCAGTAGTTACTTCGTATACTCTGCCGATTTTCCGGAAATCTGGTGAAACAGTATAATCGGCTTTGTCATCGAGGAAGCTTTGCATCACTTTGTACATTACTTCGGCTTCGGAATCAAGATCAGGCCAATCCCTACCACCCGAAAACAAAATGCGCCTAGACTTTCCGCACGATTTAGAACCAGCAGGAACAGGTAGATGAAGTGCAAGAATTAAATGGTAATGGAACTCCATCTTCATGATCAGCATCAATTATTAGAGCTTCCTGGAATCCAACACCTTAAAAATCATCCTGGAGGGTCTGCTTTTCCCTTAGAGGATGGCCCCAAGATGCTTCTGGAGATGGATTACCTGAAGCCTTACAATTAAGATCGTTTTATCAAGTAGAGATACAAAGAAACAGTTCTTGATCTTGAAGATCGTTTTTTTTCCTCCACAGCAACACGCCTTAACCAACAGCAAACTCATTCCTGCCAATGCGCGCTGCGCTAATTCTGGAGTAGGTACCGCTATATCTTCTCCCTCCACACCTCCTTCTTGACGTTCCATGCTGGTCCCAAGCACTAGAATCAGGTCAAAAGGTGGAGAAGTCTCCGTTTCCAAAGGCGTTCCGGTTCTAACTTCGACTTGGTCATCATCCTCTCGCAAGAATAGATTCACCAGGACGTCCTCCCATGGTAACCAGACGTAACAAAGCGGAAGAAGAACTATGGTGCCTATGGATATTGCACTTCTAGGCCAGGAGTTCTTAGCAGCTGCGACCATTCTTTGCTTCTTTTTCACAGCGGTAATCTTCTTCTATGGAGTTGTCTCTACTAGAAGAAATTCAACTTTTGTTCCTTTATCGTACCTCAAATCCCTCCATCCTTGATCTAGATCTTTTTCTGTCATCGTGATGCAAACGTTAATGCTCCAATTCCAAAATTTGCTATTCTCCTCACCTGCAAATGGGGAGCACGATTCCAGGTATGACATGGTCCCAGGTCTAGAGAGTACGACTTGGCAAATATTGAAAATTGGACCCAACCTCCACTTTTGATCTACTCTCTACATCTACATCTACGTCTTTTTTAGATTTGATTTGGTCTCCCCTTTTGTAGAAGTGTAAATGATCTATGGGTATGTTCCTTCCTGCCCATAACACGCCAGTCACAGTCCTCGGCGCCATCCGCAAGCCCTTCATCACAAATAACTCGTTGTCATCGGGCCGCCGCGTTGCGTCAGATCAGAACATCTTCATGTGGAGTGCCCTGACTCTGACTCAGAGTTGCTCTGTAAGTAACTCCTGAAAAAGTTGTACTTAGCTGTAAAAGCCCGAAGCATTCTTTGATTCAGAATCATATTCGCTTCGTTGTAGATCGATGTTACTTCTGACAGTGCTATCAAATGCGTCGTGCCAATTCTCCTCTCATTAAATGTACAAGCAACAAAGAGGAAAATCAATAAATGTGTATCATGTACTCGAAGCAACACAGAGGAAAATCGAAAACAAAATTATGTTTAGCTTGAAAGCACGAAGTGATTCTGTCTAGCTGCTCCTAGATGTAGTTCTTTTCTTTAGTTAGAAGGTAACTTATGTAGTGCTTGAATTAGAAGTTAAATTACTACACTTTATTGTGGCTGCATACTAAAAATGACTTTTCTGGACATAATGAATTTCATTTTTCATACTCTCTCATGACCAAGAACCGACTCGTCTTATGAGCCATCCCCAGCATCTCCCACTCGCACTCCCGTGCAAAAAGATAAAACTTAAATGTTATATGGATTCTGTGTCGCTTACTTGTTGATGTGTGTTACAGAAACTACAGATAAGTCTTGGTACTATAACTTGTTTTTGTTTAACATGTTATACTTCTTACTAAAAAATATTAAGGTGGATATTTTCTTCATCATACCCGAGCTGTACTGTAAACTTCGTGCTCATATGTAAATACATTTCGTACCCTGTTCAACTCTATGCAAATCCACAATAAAGACAATGACTTGACAAACACACGAGAAACATTGTAAGATCAACCTGCTCCACGCCCGTAAGTAGGAGACCTGCCGGCTTTGTTGTTTCGTCTTATTTGTAGCGTCTTAGCGAACGTGTCCTAGTCCTGGTGGCCACTTTTTTGGTGACCCCTAAGAAGACGGCTCAAAACCGTGGATCTATCTATCAGTTAATGAGCCGTCTTCTACTCACAGAAAGCCAAATGTAGTAGTACAAATCATCATCAGCACATTATTGTTAGTAGAAGACAGATTTCACAACTTCAGCCTCACTCTTTATCATGTAAGTATGAAAAAAGAAAAAAATTTTGATGTATCGACTAAAACATGTTGAAAACGTGATCTACTCATTAAAGTATTCGATTGTGTGTCATGTGTCGCGCTCGTGGCTATGTTACATTTTCCAAGATTTTTTTCCCGTTTTTACATAATTGCCTTAGCATTCAATTGTATTAGCAACGCACTACAGTTCCGAAGGATATATTCCAAAAAATGGCCGCAACAAGGTCACTGCTCAAAAAAAATAGACGCCGGTGGGGAAAATAGACGGGGATCGATCTTCGACTTTGTATCGAGTTAGTGATGTGGCGTGCTCCTGACTATGTTACATTTTCTAAGTTTTTTTGCGCAGTCACATCGTTGCATTAATAGCAATAAATTGCATTAGCGTTCGCATTACAGTTCCAAAGGATATATTCGTAAAAAAGGCAGCAACAAGGTCACTGCTCAAAAAAAAAACGCCAATGAGGCGGAGGCGCAGCTCCAAAAAAATGTAATATGGTGCGTACATGTTCTATGGTGCGTGCTATGGCAAGAAAACCATATGAAATTCAAATTCAAATGCTGAGCTTGAAAGTCAATGAGTTAGTGAATTTTGGACTTCGTTAAAACCCCAGGAAGGGAAGCGAAATCTTTCAAATGAAGAGCAAAGTAATACAGAAACGAGAAACTACTTGACTTGGAAACTGCGGCAACTACTTGACTTACTACTTGCTGGTATCTGATGGAGGACGAGGATCCTTAATGCGATATAAAATTGTAATTTGTACTGTCTTGTGTACAATGAATTCGTTTCGTACACAAAACATGAGCATCCTCATCATGCAGGACGAAGTATGCAGATTTAGACGCAAGAAGTTTGCACCTAGCGACATCTAGCGCCCGTATAAGTAGCCCTTATCTGGTGGTACATCTTACTCCTAATAGATGCAGTAGCTCAATTCAATGGGCGACGGCGGCTACCCTTCGTCTGGGCTGAACGCCACGTCACAGCAGTCCTGCCTGCACGAGTGAGGCCGAATCCACGACCTTTCGTCGTAGCAGGGGGGGACAGCTGTTAAGCAAAGACAGTCTTAGTAACAAGCCTGGCATTCCTATTCATGTACAGAAGTGGAGGTTTTCATCTTCCACACATCAACTTCATCAACAAGCTCAGTCATGCCAACGCCAAGCACAAATGCACTTCGCAATCACATGTCAAGCTGATGCACGCCACAAAAATTCTCCAGATCTTGTAACTGGTCCAAGGGCATCAGTTGTCCGGGCACGGTCTGGAGAGGTTCCTGCGACGCCGATTCGAACTGCTCTATTGCAATACGTTCGACGTCGTAGGTAGCCATCGTCCTCGAGATGCCTCGAAGAAGTTTCGGCGTAGAAACTGCCTTGAACAAGCCCAAATACATGCGCCAAACGCGTAGCCTCTGCGCTTGAAGTCGCACAGTGGCAGAATCGTCGGTAAACTGTCAGAAAAGGTTGTGTTTTCTTCTTGGTCAACATATCTGAACTCATAGTTGTAGAGGAGTAACTACTTGGTTAGAAGTTCTAGTACAAACAACTAGCTACAAGGCATAAAAGTCGAAGATTGAAGATTCGGATATCATCGAGGTCTACTTGATCTGAATCTGAAAACTACAGACAAAAAAAAAGGGAAGTACCGTTGCCCGTATGATTTCTTGTCCGAGTCCGGCCACGCTCTTCCCGAAACTGAGGAGAAACCTTTCAGCCCCTTGTGCGTGGATTAACGCCGCTTTTTCGTCCTCCGACAGACTTTCTGCTAGAAAATCTGCAAGGGCAAACCCGACTTTTGCCATCTTGGACAGCAAGGTCCAGTTCTGTAGGATCCCAAATACGAAAGGTAACGAATGTTCTGCAAACACGATATGCAGGAAGACGTTGTGGCTTGATGTAGAAGTGGTAGAAGTAGTTCCCTTCTTGCTGTAGTTTCCCTCCACCGCTGATACTAGTACGACATCCTCCTCCTCCGGAGGACTCGTGCCCATGGATGTAAGGCTGATCATAGCCGTTGGCACCGCTTTTCGGAAACTTCTTCGCAATATGCTTGACAACCGTGGAGCTGCTTGTTCTCCTTGATGTTGACCTTGCAGAAATCCATCTGGGTGAGCATCTTGGAGGTGTCTCTTTTGATCCTTTCACAAACAGGAAGGCCAAGATGCTGGGAAAGATGGAATTCCTCACAAGCCTTAATATAATTTGATGTTGCACTTGCGTTGTGAAAGTGGATTTTCTAATAGAAGAACTTGAGCTTCTAGTTCTACCGCCTCCTGGTGTGCCTACTTTAGGGGTTCCTCCTTGTTCTTCTTCGGTCGATACGACGGTCTTAACCTTCCCCGTGATGCTTGCGAGTATCTTGAAAGTAGTGATGCTAGTTTCCGCCAGCAGCGTGATGCAGATGGGGTCGCTCTCTTTCTGGGAGACCAAGGTGCCCAGTGCAAAAGCGAGACAGAAAGGCAGGTCTTCAGGGACTAGACGTTCGTGTCCTGGCGCCGTGTTGTTACTCTGCTGTAGGATGGATCGCATCTTCTCTAGGTACGACGCAAAACCGCGTTTACTTGCAGCACTCAGGACTACTAAAGGCGATTCTAGTACTCGTGCGAACTCGGGTGTTTCTCTAAGAATGCGATGAAGACAACAGGCGAGTGGGCGCAGTTGCAAAAGTGCTAGTCGTTTTACTGCTGTCGCGATTTCATCACTTGAACGTTCTTGTTGTAGTCCATGATCTCCAACTCCATCTTCATGCCTACCATCTAATCCTGCAAGACTCATCGTCGTCCCCACACCCTGAATGAGTTCTAAGAGCCAAAGCATCCGGTTTGCGAGGAGACAAAAGGTGTCTGTTCTTGTGCTTGACGTACTTGCACTTGATGGAAGTATCATTTCGGAAATCGAGGGCACAAAAGCACCGCTCTGCAAAGGGTCCTCTCTTTCAGCGGCTGCAGCTGTTAAGGAAGGACGCCCACGTACTAGATTCCGCAACGAAATCCGTGAAGCCTTGCGCGAAGCCATTCCTCCGACGACTGGAGTGCCGGCTGTCAAGAGAGGTTAGAAGAAGAGTAAGACACTCAAAATTTCAAGAAATAGTCTTTCTCCATCTAAGTACTTCATTCATGATTCTATCATTGATTCAAGTCTGTAGTATCATCAGAAACTACCAGTCTCAAGCCTTAAGAAGCGACCTTATCCTTCTCCGATGCTTGTTCGGCTGATGAACTCCCGGCCTTCGGTTCCTTCACTAAAAGTTCAATGGCTGCCCGTAGCGAGAGAGAAGCGAGATAGGACAAATCAAATCTTTCTCGCGGTGAAAGACCTGCCTTGGCGGAGGAGAGGATTAGAGGTCTCCCACAATAAATCGTTGGACTTTTCTGTAGCCATGCAAAATCTGACAAAGATTTGTTTCCACTTATAGTTCTTCTTCTTTCGCTCCAAAACAGAAAGAAGATGAAGAAGCATTTCTAACAAAGTAGACTTGCTATCACACTTTGAGCTTGACGACATTCAAAAACTCGCACACTGTTTGTGCCTTAATGCATCCATATCCTGGTCAGCCTCTGTCTTCACCGAAGACAAAGCTAATCCACGACTGTCGTCGTCGCTTAAGAGCAGGGTTAGCATCTTCTCTAGCACTTTTCCTGCTTTGAATTTCTGCAATAGATGTCGCTGCATGCTAAGTAAGGCTGCTCCAGAGAGGCCTCCGGATGTTGATGATGGATTCGATTTCGAGTTATGTTAGAAGTGCCCAACATTTCGTATTCGTTTTCATCAACCGAAAATGCTTTAGTTGTCCGAGGACCCGAAGTGCCCTCCGTAAAGTCACGGCGGAGATTGATACGGGGAATATAAAATACCTGACAACACCTCAGAATGACGAACAGTTTCTATCCATAAGCACTGTGTCCCTCCTTCCCATTCAGCAGCCACTCCAATCCCCTTCGAAAGCAGCCTACGACCAAAACTAGAACTGGGTAACCAAAAACCGTGCGATTGGATCCCAAACTTTTTCCAAATAGCACACAGAGATGTTCCCAGTAGGTTTCGCGTCCAAAATCGTCGCTCTTGAGAAAGGAACTAAGGTAAAACGCCTGATGAGCGTCTATTTCACGCCCTGAGGCCTTCGCATCATGGAGAGGTAGCCTTTTCGGTCCGCCTCCCGGATAGAGTTTGGCATCGCCTCCACTGGTCTCTGCTGGGTAGAGGCCAGCAGGAACGCCATCTGCCTCTTCTTGCGTCTGTCTTTGGCGAGGATCAAGAGCAGCAGGTAATTCGGCTACAAGCTGCTTCCAAAGAGAATCCCAAGAAGAGGAAGATGATTGCTTTTGACCTTGACGCTGAGGAGAGGCTTCGGCTTGCAACTCTTGTGCTGCTTGACTATGTTTGTTGGTTGAAGAACGCCCATCTCCCGGTCCTCTTGCTGTTCCAGCACTAGTACTCCTATTCATTTTTGCAATAACATCTTCGTCAAGCTTTCGCGAGTGCGTCGATTGTAGTGATCCACTCCGATTGCTTCTGCGTCGTTGAGACCTTCTACTAGATTTCCGCGAGACAGGAGGAGACCGACTTGACCGTGATGATGCATTGGGTGACCTAGAGGATGATGATGCGTTTGGTGACCCAGACCTAGAGGAGCTCTTCCCCGAGCCTGATCGTGGAGATGAACCTTTCCCTGACGCTGACGCTGACCTCGACGATCCACCTTCACTACTTGTGTTAATACTGTGAGGACTTCTAGAGGAGTGAGAAGAGGAGGATCTTGAGGAGTGCTGTGACTGAGAGCGACTTGAGCCTGCCTCGTCAGCAGAGTGATCAGATCTAGAACTTCTATGAGGACTTCTACTATGAGGACTTGAGGACGCCTTATCCTGATCTCCACCCTTGTCGCCTCTAGAAGAACTACCCGCCGAAGAGGACTGAGAACTTTTCTCACTCGCTTTATTTGATTGAGAGCTCCTGCTGCTACTCGACGATGGCATCGACCTAGAAGAGGCACTCCGACGACTACTGACTGAGTCAGATTCTCCAGAACCGCTATGACCACTACTTGAGGGAGAACGAGAGTTGTCCTCTACTGCCTTATCAATAATATCATCTACTGCTCCTTGGCCACCTAACGCCTCTGGAAGTGGAACCACTTCTTGAGGTGGTTGGATGATCTGCAAGGAGTTTAATGGCTCACGCTTGGGCATCTCTTCCACCACGACGTGGTCTTTCTCTTGTTGAAGCGCTGTTACTGGCTCATCTGCCTCTGCGTCTGCCTGCAGTGCATCTCTAATCTCATCGTCCTGCTGATGGCCCTTCTCGTTCTCCTGCTTGGTCTCGTCCAGTTGCACTTCGGGTTCCGGAATAAACTGCTCATCTTCCTGATGACCTCTGTTTACTTCTGCATCAGCACTGGAACTTGTCTCGTTGGTCTTCGCTTTGTCTGATGTAGAAGGAGGTTGATCTTCGCTTTTGCGACGCTTCAACGACGATTTACGACGTCTCGAAGACGTGGAGCCTCCAGAGACGATCGAAACTTTCCTAGAAGCAGTTGCTGAGGACGCTCTCCTGGTAGTACTGTCAGCTGATGACATCACTTTCTCGTTGTTCGAGGAAGCAATGCTACTTTTACGACCCGGCGCTCCTCCTCCTCCTCGAGATCCACGACGTCTACTCGCATTTACTGTGGATGATCGCCGAACCTTGTCGTCTAGAACCACATCAGGCGGAGAGGCAAAGCTGACACGATGATGCGCTGGCGCACTTGCGGCCAGCAAATTCGCGCACATTTTATGCATAGCTTCCGGAATGACGTCGCTTTTTGTATTCGGCAAGTCTCGCAATGTGTAAACTGGTGTAGCTTGTCGTGGTTGTTGCTGTTGTTCTGTTCGTCCACTAGCAGTCGCAGCAGTCGTCGTTTCCTCCTCATCCACTCCTACAGCATTTTTAGGAAGTTGTACTCGACTGCTCTTCCTTGGCTGCGATGTTAGCATGACATCCTCTAGAGGAATCCTTGACACCCTGGACTCGAATTCTTCTACGATGGACTCACTCTCTTGCAGGGAAATCATCCCTCGAGGACACTCCATTGCTGACGAAACCACAGAAGACGAAACCACGGAAGATCCCTCTCCCGATGAGCGAATGACGATGACATCCGGGGAAGTGAAGAGATGAGGCGACTCATCGTCTACTTCAGTGGTGATGGCAACATCTTCTTTTCCTTCTCTAAGCCTATTATCATCACCTAATGCCTGTTCTGATGAAACGACGCTGTCACCGTCAAAAAGATGGTTGGTAGATGTGGTTCCTCCACCTTGTGGGTCAGTAGATTGCTTCGAAAGTATGGGAAATTGACCTCCTCCTCCACTTATGCTTCCAATTCCACTACTATGCTGATCCACCACAGGCGTCACAACAGGACTATCTCCAGCACCAAAACTAGCCTCTGCTTGTTTCAACAACTGGTCAGGCAAGACAGTAGGACGGCTCCTCACTGCAGCACGTGGATCGATGTTGTGATGGATGTTGTGGACAGCAGTAGGACGACTCCTGGCTGCAGGTGCTGGCGCCGTAATTGAAATTGTAATTGTACTATCACCTCCGTTAATATTCTTATTACATGGTTCAGGAGAAGTACTCATCTTCAACACTTCCTGATCGAGTCCTGCAAGTCGTTGTGTGACCGTGCGCGCGATCGACTGGGTGTCTCTGGACAGCTGCAACTGAAGGGCACGCGCCACTGCGCCACTTGAATCTGCAGTCTCTAGCTCACGCCAAAAAACACGCTGCTGGGTTGAAGGTGTCTGATGTTGGTGTGCGGAAAGTTGCACTCTATCTTGTTCCATCGAGGTTCTACTGGATTCCCCAAGGATAGACTTCGAAGAAAGGCCTAAAGCTTGTTCTCCTTGCCGATCCTTGTAATACATCTTCCCACTAGAAGTAGTTGTTATACCAGGTGGTGCATGTCCATCTTCTAGTCCAGCAATTTCCTCCAAAGCGCTACGCGGAAACAGGATGGCACCAAGAAATTCTGCCAGACTCTCCAGCAATATTCGATCAGCGTGTGCGAGCCGAACGTGACTGTGCCGTTTGCTGCTCCGTGTCGCAGTGAAAGAAGATGTCGCCCGCTGAGGCGGAAGGTCATCATCTTCCACTGCGTCGAGTGATGCTAGCACACGAAAGACATTTTGAGAAGATTCTGGTTCACCTCTAGGACTGTCCAAGATATGATCCAAATTCCGCACCTCCACCACGCGCACTTCGAATCCTTCCACACGACCACCCCCCTCAGCCTCCTGAGTCAAAATAGCCTTGTTTATAAAGGTCAGCTTTCAGTGGTCACTGATTCATCTGAGTGAAAAGGGTTCCACTTTGTTTTCCCTTTGTTTTTCCCTGTTCTCATCTCAAGGGGTCGCCTCTTCGATCTCAGTGACTCCAATCTCAATGGTGACCATTGAAATGATTGAGCCTTAACTTGTCCAACGCTTCTTTCACCACACCCGATGTCAGGCTCCTTGCTACAGCGTCTTCAAAAACCAAGTCAATGAAAACGGAGTTTCCCCCAGATAATGCGCAACGAGCTTGGAGAATTTTGTGTGTACTGATTGCTCCTGATGGTGATGTTTCTGCTGTTCCTAGTGCTTGGGGACTAGTAGTTGTGGTACCCAAGGTATGACCTTGATTCACTAAGTCTTCATCCGGCGCCGTTGGAGGGCGAATCTGTATCCAGGAATCGGAATGCGTTGGCGCAGAAGCAAACGATGCTGGCGCGACCGCAGATGAACTAGAGGATGATGGCTGAAACAAGTTCTGGTGTAGTGGTCCAACATGGTGTTTCGGAGTGTGGCTGTCGTTACGCGAGAATTGCTGAGACAAGATGCTGTAGCCATTTTTCTTCATACTACGTTGAGTCGCACCTGATGGAGATGTTGGGCCATGATGAGCGGCATCGAAGATCATCTCTTCGTCTTGCCGTTTTGATACCAGCTTTCCCCTAATCGTGTCGTAGCAAGGCACCTGCTTCTCATCCTTGTATTTTGGAGGCAAAAAGGCTGACTGTTGTACTATCAATGACGCAGCGTGTTGTCTGGTTGTACTACTGCTCTGCAACGTGTTCTTGTTCCTATAATTATTCGATGGAGTTAACGTGCTAGTACAAGCCAAACTCTTGCTACGGCCAACAAGAACATCAGGTGAGGTAGCAGGAAGTTTGATTCGACTCGACGTCGATGTTGTCCGGAGATGATTATCTTGAAGCAGTGTCGTGGCCGTATTTCCAGCAGCGAATTCTTCTCCCGCAACTCCTCCTCCTCGACCTCCAGCAGTTGCACTGTCTGTGATTACAAAAGGAACCGATGACAAGAGAGTGCAGTCTGCAGAGGCTGGTAAGTCTTCTATAACGCAATCATAAACGATCATATCATCGTGTGGTCTTCCTCCTTCGCCGACTTCTACAATACTACTTGTTGTGCTACCTTGGTTTGATGCAGTTTCGAGTAGAACTTCTTCAGACCTTTCAGACACATGACTTGCTGACAGACCTTGCTGCCGAAACGGCTGCCCATTCGCTAAAGCTGATATCTGTTGTGCGCGAGCTGTAGAGGGCTGTGCTTCATCTCTAAATTGAAACTGAGGCTGTTCATCCGAAGCAGACCCCTGGCTCTGCTGACGACGCGCACTGCGTTTTCGTGTAGGACGAGACGACATAGTCAACATAGAAGGGCTTGTAGCTGCACGACTTCTAATCTGGCGATCTACAGCTACTGCTTGAAGTCCCTCTTCGTCTTGTAGTTTATCACCAGATGATGAGCTCCTCACAAATACGTCTCGACAGCTCGTAGAAGCTGCTTTGCGTATACCGCTTTGAAGGTGAAGATCTTGTTCTTGTTCTTGTTCTTGTTCTCGACTGCTTCTAGAAGTTTGTGTTTCCTGAAATAGTACCTGTGAACTAGACAGATCCGAACTGCCGTACCCATTCCAACTAGAGCCTGGCTCTACAGATACAGAAAGAGCTTTTGATCTGTCTACTAGGGCAGTGCCAGCAGTGACGATGCAACTCTTGGCATTTCTCTTCGCAGCAGCAGGCTTCATGCCACGACTAGAAGCAGAAATAGTAGCTGAGTTCAACTTCCGAATCGCACTACCAGTCCTGCGAGGACTACTGTTCGAAATTGACGATGTAAGGCTCTTTTGTTCCCCTCCTTGTTCCATCATCGACTGCTGCCAAACAGCTGCATCCTCCTGCTGACCCTGACCACCACCAGCCGTCCCCGACAAGAAATCACTTACAGTGGCATCGATCGATGCTGCAGTTGCAAATCTCCACGATTCATCTTTCTCCAAACCGTCCTCTTGATCTACAACAGAGTCAATGGTGTCTCGGCGACTACGATTCGCCAGTCGTTGATCTGCTTCTAGTTGCATCTGGATAAACCGGTTCACCTTCTCATTTAAAGCCGAGAGGCGATTGCCGAGACTGCTAGTGGAGGAAGGGTCTAATCCTAGTGTAGGATTGCCTACAACGCCTGTAGGAAGGCTACAGTTTTGACTTTGTTGCAGATGTGGAGCAGTTCTAGTTGAATGTGCCACGATTTGTTGGTCTCGCGCTTCATCTAAACGAGCTGGCTTAGAACTTCTCGCGCCAATTGTTCCCCTCTCCGAAACGCTCTTGGTGACATAGATTGACCCTGGCTTATTGTCATTTCCTCCACTACCGCCGCGTAAAGACGGATCCTTCTTTGCGTTTTCAGTCCCAATTTGTCTTCCGTTTTCAGTAGTTGTGGCAACGACTAGACTTTTGAACAGCCTCGGTGGACTGCCGACTCTGGAGGCTCTTTCTGGATTCCGGCTAGCGCGCAAGACAGGAGAACGGACACGCAGATCCGGAACGAAGGAGTCTGTTATAGTCGTTGTGTTTCGTTTATCTACAGCAGCTGTTGTACTGCGTTTGTCTACTGAAGAAGGTGAAGTAGCTGAAACTTGATCTAGTACTGCTTTGTTGTTGTTCAACATCTGCTTCAAGTTCAGTGTCAGCAATCCTTTATTGTCTGACAGTCCTGCGACTGTTGCTCTACTTTTTCCTGCTGTGCTACCTCCAGGCTGAAGTAGTGAGTTCCCAGCACCTTGTACCTCGATGATAGGTCGTTGATGGACAGCTGATGCTGCTCTTGATCTAGACGATGTTGCTGGTTGTCGAGTTGCCCGTTGTTGTTGATGATTCCACGCACTCGCAGGTTGTGGCTGTGCTGCAGAGCTTCTCTGCAAGACTCCAACTCCTCGGTTTCCCACACCAGATGAACATTCATCCTCTTCCAGCACGCGAGTACGTGACGGCGCTCTTGGTTTACTGACTTGTCTAGTCGTCTTGGAAGTCCGAGTCGTGCTCCTGTCATCTTCTTCGTTGAAGACTTCTTCTACTTGCGCCTGTCCTCCAACCACCAAATCCCGAAACCCATTGGCCATGATGGAAAACGGCGAAATCTTCCCAGAATTGTTGTCTCGAGTTTGGGAACCAGCACTATCGATAGTTGCAGCTAGTCGTGCAGGTCCTCCGGGTGTCGTCCTGCGAAAAGCGGGAGACCTTGCTTTACTCGTCTTTTTATCACCCACTTCTTGCTCTCTTCGAATCCGCTCTGGACTAAAATTCGACAACAAAGTTGGCGGCAAGGTACATCGAACTTGTAGTTGATGCTCTGGAGTTAGTAGTTCTTGTGCTTGTTGTTGCCGAGATGTCGAGGATGAAGACAAGGTGCTTGTCTTTTCTCGAAGTATTGGAACTTCGTGATTTAAAGAGGAAGTCGTGTCGTAGCCACCAGGAGCAGCAACAACGGGCCGCAGCAACGCACCAGTATGCGAAATGAAGGGAGTAGAAACGGAAGTCCTGAGATCGTCGGTGACGTTATTTTTCACCTGTAAAAGTCAGTGTGGTGGTATGAAGAAATTATATTTTGAGAAATGAATTCGATAATTTTTGTTCCATTGTCAAAAGGAGGCCAATGACTGAACGATCTGTCTTCTACGTACATGTTTAATGTGTTGTTCTTCCGAAGGTGAACCGATGCAAGTAAGACGATGAAGATCGTAAGTAAGAGTAAGTACCTCGACATTGTTCCTTGTCCCAGCCCCACCTGTAGCTGTTAATTCATCCACGATCCCACCCTCAACTATAATTGGAACAGGCGGCTGAGATCGCAAGCCGTTTTCTTCATCGAAGACCACATCGGAGGTTATAACGTTCACCAAAGAGCTGCTAGTGCTGTAGTTAGAGTTCTTCATCAGCATTGAGGGAGTATTCTGCGTCGTCGTTGCTCCACCGAATACTGACGAGGTAAGAGCTGTGACTGGCGTTATGCTACTAGGCACCTTACTCGTTAGCGAGGATTGGGAACCTCCACCTGAGCCTTCTTCTAGAAGCAAGGTCGATCCACCAAATCGGTCTTTCGCGTTTCGGGCAAAGGAAGTTGGACTTCTAGACTGCGAGGGATCACGCTGATAGTTGTACGTGTAGGTGTGTGGTCGCGTTCCACCTCGATCAGGTACAGCTGATGAACTTCTTGTCCTAGAAGCATGTGCAGTCTGTCTTCTGGAGAGTGTAGTCTGTCTTCTATCATGTCGTACTCCAGAGGTGGAAGACTGGGACAATGAACGCTCTGGCTCTGCAGCACCAGAAGTGACTCGCCTAGACCTTGTTGAAGAGGTGCTGCCATTCTTCTGATGTTCTTGGTAAGACGATGATACAAGCAGCGGCCGCTGTCTTCCCGCGGAAGAGGTTGTACTCGCTCTAGTTCGACTTCTTGGGTTCGCTGATTTTATGTCCACTGAAGCGCTTCTGCTAGCGTCGTAGAAACAGTAGCTAGAACTAGACGCTGTCGAATTCGACACTTTGCGGTCTCTCCTGTAGTTGTTGTTTCTTCGACTAGCAGTACTTGAAGATGCTCTTCTGGATGTCGTGGAATTATAGTCTTCCTGTTGATAATGGAGTTGAAATCGATTGTCTTCGTCATGTTGAAGTTGATGTTCTCTTCCACTCCCGGTCCTAGTCCTAATCCTCCCAGCCCCATGATCCACCAAGTCATCCTTAGTCGAGGTGCCTCCACGACCCGATGGTACTGCCCCTTGTTGAGGGCCACCGACTAATGAGGTGTTAACGGTAGAAGCGCCACTTCTAGGATAACGACTTACGCGTGGACAGGGGAGGTCAAGCTTCTCGAACTCTCGCTTCACATGCTTCCGCAGTTGATGCAAGAAGGCTGAAGCGTGGGTCGCGGCTGCTTTGCGATGGGGTTTGATATAGCTTATTTCTATGTTTGCTTTGTTTGGGTTAGGGTTTAGGGTTTACTATATGAAGATCATTTGTCCGATGATGAAAGCCTATAAACACTCTCTGAAATTAAATACAACAAGAAAAGCGAAACTACTCAATTCATATTCTAGTCAAAATGATACTGATGCCAAATAAGTACCTTGATGCACTTGCACATCACCGCCCCCTTTGTTTTTATCACCTCCTGGCATAAAGCCCTCCAAAATGGTCCACACTGCTTCTTCTGACCTCCTCGTCACGGCTCCAGGAAACTCCAAAGCGAAAGCACGTTCCTCATCCGGCGCAACATCGGCAAAGATTAGAGCTACCTTCTTCCTAGCCTTGGTCATCCGTCTTTCAAGCAGAAAAAGGGCCAAGGCGGATGCTCCTGAGGATGCTTAAGCGGTAGCCGTAAGAAGAAAATGAACCTCGCACGGGAGGAACTCAGTTGTTCGTGGGTCGTACCTGTACGCCCTCCTCCAGGATGGGAGATCAAAGACGAGGCTCTTGAAGCCGATGACATTTTTTCGTGTAAGTACTATGATCGAAAATGAATGTTATTTTTATGAATGAATGTTATGTGAATGTGTTTCTCTCTTATTCAGAAGTTGTAATATGCTTTGCAACACTGTTTCAGAGAGAACAATGCATGCACACGAGCTTGATCAACGGTGAGGAGTGCAATCAGGAGTGCTTGAAAAAATCAGAACAAACACAGAGACACAACGCGGCCAGGGATCGCTTCATATTAGCCACCTCTTGCAAAGCTAATCTCGTTCTATTTGTAATATTCATCCTGGTGTTCTTCTGCTCCGTATGTGTGAGAAGAAAATTCGGCAGTTTTTCGCTCTCCTCCTCTATAATGGTCGATCATACTTAAATCTCTCGTTACGTGTTTTGGGAATTTTGCACTTTCTCTTGGCATGCCATTCTACACAAGTTATTTTTCCAACGCTACTCTTACTAGACACCCTTTTGCATTTGCTCTTCCAACAAACGAGCGCGATTTTGCACGGATGGCTTGTGATGTAGCTCTGCGTTTGAGAGAATACCGCTCCTAAGTAAAAATGCTACTTCGTAGTATTAGAGCTGGTGTCCGGAATTCATCTTTCAAGTGCATCCTTGAAAAGTATGGGGGAGTATTCGCTTAGGATACTCTTCCATACGTTTCAAGGAGGCGTCCAAAGATGTATTAGGTACAGCCTTAATAGTACTTTTTCGCTGTGTGTTTCATTCCTGCAGTGATTTCACGGTCAACTACCTTGATAGTCTGTCCGTTCATATGCATCGACTAGGTTCCCTTGTCGTAACATGTCCCACGACTCTACGTGAAGATTTTCAAGATCTCTATACATTTCTTGCCGTGATGAATAATCAATCTAGTTGTCATGCACTAGACGAAAAGAATGAAGTTGGTACATTGCTATAGATAATATGACGGATCTGTTGTAACTAAAATCTTCCACAAAGCAATAACAGTATGCACTAGTTGAAGTAACTGTAACACCGTGAACTTGACAATACGTCATATCTAGACAGTTGGTTCACGCCCCCTAGACCTGGATGACATGGATCATCATCTTCTTGAATGGATAAATATTAGTAGTAGTAGTTTACCCATTCTGGGGGTACTGTTGTTCTTTCCATTTTGTTCGATTTCATCAATTATCGTGTTTGTACGTGATCGTCCTTCAAATACAGCTCCAAAGCTCCTCACACCGTAATTCTATAAAGATCATTCTTGTTTAGGAAAATTATAACTCCTCTTCTAGCGACAACGACATCAAAACTATCCTGCACCTACTACAACCACGCACCCCCCCAGTACGTAGTACAACTATCATGATCTTCATCCTGTCAGTCATTTCTAACGGCAGGACTTGGACTTACAGCCTCTTTTCTCCTCAGAGCTGTCGCTCTCGCTGTCCGCACTCTTCGCTACGAAATAGTCGACGCGGTGTCTTGCTTGCAAAGGGGGCGGCGAATCATCTGTGCTTGGAAATCACAGATCATGGCAGGCTTGTTTTCACATGATCATGATCCAACTAACACTAGTAACTAAGCAATTACAATTACAATTGCAAATTTTGCGATGGGGGGTTCGACGCACCAGCAGCGGTAGGCGCAGAGAAAGCAAACATTTCACAGACACAAAGAGAAAGCCATACTAGAAAGACTGAAAAGGAGCAGGAAGCTCAAGTGAAATATTATAGAGTAGAGTAATTCATGTTCGTCATCATCCACACAATCGACAAAAAAAAGCATGATACCTAGCGATCCGTCCTCTGTAAACGGAAGAGATTCCACTGAAGGATCGATGCAGCAGTGCTTCTTAGCCGGCTCTTTACATTTGTCACTTCGTACATCGGCTTTGACTCCGTTCTTAGAGAGACTCTGATGAAGAATATTACGTACTGATGTACTGAGAATGAGGAGCTTTGAAGCGGGGAGAATAAGAAGCAAATACGTACTGAGAGGACAAGGAGCTTTGAAGCGGAGAGAAGTGTGCAAAAGCAAGAATGTCAAGAACGTATTTTAAGACTAAATAAGAAACTGGAGGTAAGAGTACACATGATGAGGTAACCGTAACAGTACCTTCGCACTCCATCATGGTGCGCACGCTAATAAATGACGACGTTAGCCGGTTTGGATTGAGTCTGCATTGACTTCCCTGAGTCTGCATTGACTTCCCGAGCGGAATTTCAGTCTGCTTTGACACTTACTACAACATGTATGACTCCGTATAATTAATCTGATTTGCATAGTCCTTAACTGAAGGAGCCTCGCAGAGAGTGGTAGTATCGTCTTTAGCCAAATTGCCTAGAAACCGTTTTTCATCCTGAGAGAAATCCGCCACCGTTTTGCCATCAGCCAAAGCAATATTTTCCGTATGAAAGGAGGGAGAGGATTTTCTAACTAGATGAAGTCAGAAAAAGTTACTTAGAAGCATGGTCCCCTACGAATACTACAGGATACGACCTTTGACAGGATCTGGCGCCTAAGTGAATTGACGTGTTAGATCTAAGGATGAATGGAACTCGTAAAATGGGAATTTTTGAATTTCAAACAACTCCGAAATTGAAATAAGTAGTCTTAGTGGTAGTTTCACGGTAAAAGTAACAGACTGGAATCGAGGGTGGAAGGCGAGCATTGACGAAAGTCGTCTCATGCTTCTCTGAACAGGTTAGACGCCAGATCCCTCTTGACCGGAAAAAAGATGCATGGTCCCCTACGTTATTGCTTTTGTTACTCTCTTATTTCAAGGTTTCGAGTACGTTCTTCATTGATAACAACAACAACATCCCAACCAATCAAAATAACAACAACAGCGGCGGAGCCAGCCTAACTAGGAAAAGCCAAAAATAAAGAGCACAAACAATACCGTAATGGATATGGATCAAACTAACAATATTATAACAAATATCATTTACTTTTTTGTGTGATAAATCAAAATCAAAATCCGCCATAATCAGTTTTGCCACACATTTGTGTGACCCACATAGTCCGGATTTTACCACATGTTAGCACATTCTTACGAGGCATACTCTGCTCTCGATTCCGGTTGATTAGAGTCCTCACTCGGGAGGCTATCTATTGAATCGTAGTACTTAGTAGCGTAGTACCCATTCAATATGGTACATAATGATGGAGGTCCATTAGAAGACGATTATAGTGAACATTTAACCATCTTCTATTCTTTCCAAACTCAACTAGAAACTAAACTCTCGAACGCTTCCTAAGTTTCACTATTTAGATAGAATATTGAATACTTAATTCATACAGACAAGAAAAGAATACCCGAGACGAGATTCATTCTAAACCAAATGACCTTTGGCAAATAACTTTGTTTTGACCACCAAAAAACTCTTTGGAACTGCATCCAACCACGCTTGGACCAAACGTAAGCGGTCGCTCAAGACCAATAAGACGCATAATAACATCATATTGCTCCTGTTGTTGTTGTAGATCTGTAGTTCTGTTGGTCGTAGTTGCTTTTTTGAGAAACTTGCTGTTTTGAGAAACTTGCGAACCCTCTTCTATGTCCTTGCTCTCGGCAGGAGTCGAGCCTACTCCTCCACTTCCATCTTCAGTTAGGCTCTTCTCCTCTGCCCTGCTGCCCTCGCTCCTTGGCACTGCAAAAATAAGACGAGAGATTGTATTAGAACTCGTGCGTGAAACTTGATCTTGGTCCGGACAGATGGAGTCGGAGGTAGAGGATTAGGCAGCTATAAAGATGCATAGAATTTTTGTTGTTGGTCGTTGCTTGCTTGGAGACCAGGGAGGTCCTCGTTGGGGTTCTTCTTTAGGACGCGATGGCATCCCGCCCCACCCGATCGGTGGGTTTGCTGATGTTCGTTGACGTAGTACAACATGAGGAAGAGAGCGTTGACCCTCCCCCAAGGTTTTGCCCTCCCCTAGGTTTCTTAAAGCAGTGGCCCTACACCGAAGCAACGGTATGGTTACGAAAAAGAAGTGGTCATGAGTCTTAATAATACACTGGAGAATGGTAGCGAATAAAAATTCATATCATGGATGAGGTTAGGTGTGGGCCGACCAGGAAAACTGGCAGACATGAGTCGTTGCTGAAGAGTGCTCGGCCATAAGCCAACTACAAGTAATAGTAGAAACTAGACAATACTTGGAGGTTTGAAGGAAGTCCAATGTTCGGCTGTGAAGGCAGTTAGAGCTAGCAGAGGAGTGGGGAGGCTATCAGACCGACACGAACGATCAATATCATCAGCACAAGCGCGAACTGATTGACTGATTCTACAGAACCGATTTCGAGCAGATGTGTCACCGATTTACTTCTCGAATGTCAACAGATTACATCATCAATATCATCGTACACTTATTTACAACTCACTGTCAGGGTCATCATGTTGTGTCTTTTTATAGCACCGAAGATGTAGGCACGTCATCAAGGACCAGCACTTCTGATGCACATGCATCTGATGCACATGCATCATATCTCATATCTACTTATGCCGACCGATGTATGGCATCCGCCATGTGCAAAGGCGCGATAAGAATACCGCCTAAGGTCTCTTTGGTATTTTTCATACGAGGTTCAGCGTATTGGAATGCTTACGTTGATACTTGGATGTTGATAGAGCAGCAGCGCAAAATCGAAACGAATCAGTCTTCTAAAAGTTGTTAGTCCTCGTGGTTCCTGCAACATCACCATCACCAGGCAGAGGACTTTCGAAAAAAGTCTATAGGAAAACTAATTTCATCGCAGACCATTGATTGATTGACATCCCTAGTAGTACTTGATTGATTGATTGATTGCGAAACAGACCACATCACTTTCATTCTACTATTCAATTCTATTATTCATCTCTAGATTTCTCCCTAGTCTTCTTCAACCAATGAATGCCCATTTCCTTGACGCGCTGTCGCAATCGTTCTCCGTGCAGACGAAAGCCCATTACAGTCCCCACGACAGCACCTGATAAATGCGCGATGTTGGAGACCCCTGGACTGCCGCTACCAGGCAGAAATTGGTCGATGATTTCCTTCTGGACCCAAAGCAGTACTTGTAGTACGAAAGTGACAGGGATGCGGTGAGGGTTAGAGATACGATGTAGTACGTACAAGACGACTATTAAATACTTGAAAAAGGAACAGGAAGTGTATTATAACTTTCTTGTACATTTGAACTTGAAGTTTAACTCACGAATCACAATACATCTTCACCTTCTATGTCTTCTCGCCATAATCAACCTCACTTGCACGAGCGAAGACAGCAAAATACACATGAACACCACGCCAGAGGCCCCCAGCTGAATCGACGCTGCGTTACCGAAGGCAATGTGCGCAAATGCAGAAAACACAGCCACATAGAGAATCACCTTCAACAAATTGTAACTTCCAAACTCCCGTTCCGCAGCAGGACCAGCAAGCAGAAGGTTCACCATGTTCCCGCTCAAATGACCCCAGTCGCCGTGGCCTACTACATGGGTAAAAAGCCGGAGTATCGACATCGGAATACCAGGTATTGGGAGATAGCTGTACGCACTCCCGAGATACCACCAATTTCGAAGAGGGGTGACAACTTCGGTCACTGGTTGCCAATAGGCCCAAGGGTGTACTGAGAAGTAGTCTTGTTGGACATTGCCCAGCAACTTTGGGAAGAAGAAGGATCGTAGGAACAGTAGATTCGTGAAGATGTTGTCGGTTGCAATCACGTGCACCAGAAAACAAGCGAGCGCGAAGAGTAAGGTAACGGGAGAGTCGAGTTCGAGATAACCGAGATACCGAGCAAACGCAGGTCCGCAAACAGGTTTCAAGTAAGTTCCTATCCTAGCCGGCAACAAACGCACATCTTCTGAATCAAAAAAGTCCTCAGCTGTGAGAGCTAGCTTGGCTTCTAACTCCGCGAATTTCTCATTTGCTGACCGCACTTTCGGTAACAAATGCGGTTGCAGAAACTTCTCGTCCACTGCTTTGTATGCTGGATGCCGTAGCACATGTCTGTCGAAACCTTCACTCGCTAGACGGTACTGGGTTTCCACCGTGTTGTGCACCGTTTCATAGGTCTCCACTGCAACTCGATACACCGGTAAAACGCGGTTGTGGAAAAAATCGTTGGCTTGTTGGGCTACGCGTTTTACATCCTCAGTGATTTCTCCGACATTACGAGGAAGAGGCGCAAAGTCGGAATTCTCCTCTTTCGTACTGCCTTCTGCGCGATTTCTCTTACGAGCCGACGGAGAGGACTTCTTGTTCTTCGACGTTGGGGAGGAAGACATGTTCTGGTAGGTTAGTATTAGTTTTTATTTCTGTCAGATATTCTCAAAAGGATGGGAAGACATGTTCTGGTATGTTGTTAGGTTTAGTTTTTATTTCTGTCAGATATTCTCAAAAGGATGGGAAGACATGTTCTGGTATGTTAGTTTTAGTTTTTATTTCTGTCAGATGATATTTGTGGTGGGGCAGACGCAGACCTGTCACATGATATAATTCTCAAAAAGAATATACTACGGCCACTACAGCTTCGTACGTAGGGGTTACCTTTGGTGGAGTGAAATGGTGCTCTCAACATCCCGTTATTCATTCTATTTTGCTTTTTCAGTAATTCTTTTTCCCTTTATGCCAACAAGGGAGAACCGTCTCCAGGTAATGAGCTCCGCAGTGATGAAGCGAAAGTATGACAAGCAGCAGCAGCAGCAGTGTCTATCATCAAAATTCGTGAGCGTCCTAAAGACGAGTACAATCAACATGCGTATCGTCGGACAATTTCAGTCTTTCTTAGCCGGCAAGGTAGAGGGACTGCCCGGACTTTCTCCAGGACTATTTTCCCCCACCACTTTCCCGTTTCCAGGAGGACTAGTTGCATGCGGTTCCTGACCGCTACCTGCTGTAGTCCCTGCACGACCAGGAGACGTCGCTACATTATCTGCCTGTTGCACACTATCCGAGTCATCGCTATCTTCATCCTCATCACCAGTTTTCGAGGATTTCTTCACTTTGGGCCGTTTTGCCGCTTGCACGATGCTAATTTTCCGCACATGTCCTGCTACGTCGACTAGAGGGTACAAGACACGCCGTTGCTTCAAAACCGGATATGCTGCCACGTCTAGCAACCTTTCACAGACCTGCTTTCCGTTATGAAACACGCGGACTGCGCAATCTTCCCAGTCCCATGCGACGCCCACGCGGTCGTTCTCAAGCAGAGCACGTCTTGGTCTCCATTCGAGGTTGCGCTTAACAGACTGCCCATCCACGAAGATTTGAGGCAGTTCACCACCGCAAACCACAGCATTCTTCAACTCGGATGCGGACTTGCCGACACGAGCGAGCTTGAGGAGATTAGAAGCACAAGGGATACTATCATAGGATCTGAACTGACACTCTAGTTGTACACCGTCTACCGACTGGTGGTTACATCTAATATCTTCTTTGCGTACTTTATGTATGGCTCAAATGCCGAACAATTATCCCATCTATTATAACACCAACTATCGGACATAACACTCGGCAACTCCCACAGAAATCCAAATGCTGCTGTCCTCGTCTGGCCTTTCGGTATGAGTTCTAGAATCTCAACTTCGAAGTAGTCCACTGGTCTAGTGCAGAAACAAACAGCATCTGTCGAAGTCCCAGTTTTCCTCTCAGCCTCGTGTCGTTCTTCGTCGAAAATCAGACTAGAACCAGCATTCTCGTGGAAAAAGAGGTGGGTATAGACGTCGAGCTCGAAATCGCCGCGGAGACAGCTGTAGTGAGGACAAAGGAGATTTGGAAAAGTACACTTTTTTAATCATCTACATTTTTTGATCCAAATCCATCTGTCTAATCAATATAGTGTCAAAAGCAGATTGCTCCCTCAAACGAGACTGAGATCTTGCGCAGATCTCTTATTTCTTTCGTTCAGTTTCGGGCGAACACCCAACTTTCTCGGTGATTGAAAGTTGAAACGGTTGCGCAGGAAAGTCCTAGGCGCAAAGCTTCGATGTCGTTTATGTTTGTGTAGTCCTTGTGTGTTCGATGTTATGGTTGAATTTGTTGATTCGTTTTATGCGCAATGTTGTGTTAATCTTTACTCTTTCCAAATATTCAACAATCAAAACTTGAGCCAACAAGACATCCGATGGCATCACAATATTCACACATTGCAGAAGTATTTATTTATACAAAACGAGCAAGAGAGAAAAGTCGTGGCTTGGGAGGAGAAGAAAGGATGAAGATCATTTTAATGCGTTTGGTTTGATTTACAATCTTCATCTTACTCAAGTTGCTTTGTTACTTATTTACTTACTTACTCTTTTGACTTATTTACTGAAACAAAATCAACTTGACACTTATAACAAAAAAGACTCTTTACAGATTTCTTCACATGACTATACAGACGAAAGACCACTTTTCCTTTTTCGGTCTTGGTCATCTTCCCAAACGAAAACCGTCGAAAACAAATCCGATTCTCTTCGCCGATTTTCTCTTCTCGTTTCTCTCAACTCGAAACAAAGACGACGACTTTACTTCATGCACTATTTTGAAGTGCAGCACAGAACATTCTTACTTTTAGAAAGTTCACAGTGCCCCGGGGGTGAAGAAAGTAAAGTCAAAGTCACTTGTAGAGTTGAGAGGCATCTCCCTGCTTCTGCTTTTCGTGTTTATGGCGTTCCCATGCGTAGGTTCCCATTATGTTCATGCTTACAAGTCCCATGCTCCGTTAGCTGCGATGCAACCCTGCCAAACTGGGATGGAGCCGCTCGCTCCTCAAAAGCAAAAACGCCACTTGTTGCTACTGCACTGGAAAGTATCATCTTTAGCATCGTACTCGCTCACTGATCTAACGTTCCATGCTCCATCACACATTCTGCGACCGTTATGCACTCTTCTGCCTGTCCACTCGACTACAAACTGTGCATCAGAAATTTACCTGGGAGCGCAAGCTCTGCTCTGCGCTCCATCCAAATTACTGCTCATCTTCTTGCTTCTTCAAGTAGCAAAATCTGCAAGAAGTTCCCTAAACCAAAATGGTTGACATCGTCTGCTGGGAAAATAGACGATCTGCCAAGAACCCCTGCTCCTAGCTGCTGATCCTTTTTTTTTCTTATGTTTTTCCATGAAGATGATATGTTGTTTCTTCTTTTTCCAAAAACTAGATGCAAATTTTCCTTACTGGTTGTTATCACTGATGATTTCACAATCGGGAGCTAACGGTCTCTCCCACGTGTACTTCCTGGCTCGGACGAACATTTGTCCCAGAGGTAACACCAAACTTCCTTTCAGCATCCGCATGAACTGCTGAAGTTTCGACCCACTCTGCACTTTGGTGCTAGCGTCCCCCGGATTCGCTTTATCCGTCACATGACCGATCTCGCAAGACGTTTGATGGTGCCAGGACTTAATCCGGGCAAGTATGCGGAAGACTGTTGCGTCTGCAACTCCGATCGCTGCCTTGCTCATCACTCGCATAATGGCAGATTTGGAGTCCGAGATCAAGTATCCCTTTACGACATGGCCCCACGCGCATAGCTTCGCCTTGCTCATTTCCAACACTGGATAGGATTCACCGAAGCCATACAGCTCTGCTTCGTATGATGAGTTAGCAACTTGTCCAGGGAAGATGTTGTCCATCTCCAGGAAAGAACAACGAAGCTCCATCTTCTCTAGCTTCTCATATTCAGCCAGGGTTTGCACCCGCTTGATTTCCGTCTGCTTGGCGATGTACGCATTGAGATCCTCCTCCGACACGGAGAGAAGAACCCACCCGAGCATCGGTTTCAGGCGAAAAACGTCTCTGGCCACTTTATCGTCGATGGTGCTCGGAATTACCACAGCTGCATTCCTTTGACGCCTCTCTTCTCTTTTCTTTGTGCTGCTGTTGCCAATGAGCGCGGTGTACACTTCCTCGTAAGTTTTCGCGACGAAGGTGCCCTTATCTGCGCATGAGTCGAAGATGCTTCGCCTATCTTCTAGACTCGCGACTCTTTCTCCTTCCGAGTTGAACAACGGTTCGGCTTCTACTTACAGCAGGTGTCTGAAAGGAGGCATCCGGCCACATGATCAGCACTTCCTTTTCGTAGCTCAGATCGAGGCATATCCCGTCGCTGCTTCCCTTCAGCCTCGTAATAACTGCGTTTTGCCCAGACAGCCAGCGACAGTCCTTGGACTCGTCGCTTCCGATTGCAAACGCTCGAGTCGGAAAACGAGCATCGGGATGAGCTTGTCCGATGTAGATCAAGCTACCTCGTTTCGCCTTGAGATCCCCTACTTGCTTCGGGTTCAGTTTCTCGTGATCTGAAGCTTCCACTTTGGTTTTGTCAAACGTTTCCGGCAATTCGCTCAGCTGAAGTTCTTCGATCTTTTGCCTCATGTGGATCTGCACGCCGTTTCCATCTTGGTCTAGTTTTATCGTCGACCCGGTGCACACGAATCCGTCTTTGCCGTCTGCCCACGATTCCAGGCCAAAGCGCTCTTTTAAAGCTGCAGCAAGCTTATCGAATGCACCTTCTTCCCCTGAGAAGATGAGGTCATCGACATGCAGTCCGACTTTGTTGAAGCCGGAATCATCCACGAAAACGCAGGGCGCTTCCGGAGAGCATCGGTATCCGATGGAGGCCAGGAATTGCGCAAGAGTTCGATACCACAATAGAGCAGCTTCCTTCAAGCCGTAGATCGAGACGCTCATCACGAACACACTCCGCGGGGCGATCCCGAATTCGCTCTTCAACGCGTTCAGCGTGGGTTCGTCGGCGATGTTGAACGGAAATCGAAATCGAGGTCGGGCTTCAGGAGCGAACCTTCTATTTTTGAGGAATGCTCTCGGCACGTCTCCTGATCGCAGAGCTCTCTTACCACGGATGTATCTAAGAGATGAGATCACCAAACGGAAGTCTAGAGCAGACATTGTTGGGCTTTCTGCGCTAGCCGTAATGCTGCTAAGATGTCCGCCGGGCACAACTCTACTTCCTTGCTTGAAATGGCAGCTGGTCATCATTTTCAGATCCTGCAGCCCACGCGACGTCAAGATCTTTTCGTCGCTGCAAGGCTCTCCATCCTCCCAGACTTGGATTAGACCTTCTTCGATCATGTTTCGCACTTCCTTGCATACCGCTTTCGTGTACGTTTCTGGAGCATCTAGGCCTGCAGCCGATCTACAAAAACTATGATCGCAGTCAGGGACCTTTCCGGCTCCTTTTAGTTTTCTCACTATTTCTGGGTGACGAGCGACTTTCGGGTCGTAAATCGAATAAAGACCTAAATCCGGGTACGATTTCCGATCTTCAAGTTTCCAGAGTACTATTCGCAGAAGAGGGCCTCCGCCGGCTCTGTCGTACTCACTCTTGTTGTAGACGATGCAGCTCCTGTGCTTGTTCCAGACGATGAGAGTTTCACTTTGAAGTTCCGGCTTTGCCAGGTCTCCGCGCTGCTGCTCGGACTTCCAGTCGTGATATAGATCAAAACCAACCGGCGAGATCTTGTGCGTTGCGTTTTCAAGCAAACTCTTGCGGAGCATCTCGAAGGTTAAGCTATCGTCTTTGATCTTTCCTTCCTTTTCTTTCTCAAGAAGCTTGAATAGAGCGCGACGAGTATCGCGGTTCGGTCTGCTGAACTTCGTCTTCCAATCTGGATTGTTCTCGTCTCGAATCTCGTCCAGCCATCTTGCTGTTCCTTCGACTGATGATTTTTCTTCATCTTCAGTCGAGGCGTCGCCATCTACTTCTTGTCGAACGAAGAAGTACTCAAAAACAGAAGCACTAAGTGCTGTCTTTTCTCCCGGCTCGAGTGGAAGACTTCTTGCAGCTTCTCGCGCACTGAAGACGACTTCTTTACTTTTCGCACTCGTGTCGATGTCCGCCTGCAGTTCTTCTTCCACTCTGTCACTTCTGGCTTGTCTGTGCGCCGAGGTTTCTCTAAGATGATCTTCTGACGAGTCTGTGCCGTACCCGGAGAGATCCACTGCACGCCACTCTTCGTCGTCGCTTTCGTGGTTTGTCGCAACAGGCTTTGAGGTCGAGACTGAATTGCGATGCCTCTTGAGGCCGCAGCTCTGCGCCTTGTGGCCAAGTCCGCCACAGTGATAGCACTTCACTCTTGTGGAGGATGCCGAAGATGATGCTGTCGCGAAAACGTGATCGCCGTTTTCGTCTTCTCCTGCTCCCCCGTCGTTCTCGCTCTCGACTGATTGAAGAAGTGGATCTTTTTCGCTTTCCTCCTTTGCTGGAGGATCTACCTTGTCATCTTCGGATGCGATGTCGTCCAAGATTCTTCTTCCTTTTCTTGACATTTTGTTCCGCATCTTCCTCTTCCCTTCCCCGGGGGGGAGAGAATCAGGAAAAGGCCCTGGCTCGTGGTCAATTGGACGGGCAGCAGCGTAGATATCTTCTTCGGCTTTGTGGAGGGCGTCCCACCTTTTCTGCGCTTGCAGAAGACGACCATGCTCCTTATAATCCTGGTAGGACACAAGGTGTGTACCGTCCGGAATGTCGAGAAGCACGCTGAAGTTTACATGAGTACTAAGAAGATTCTTCTTGACCTTGCTTGTTCCGCGTTCGAAATCTACTCGGTACTCGTACGCGTCTTGACCAGTTACTTTTCTAGTCCGTGTTGCAACAGTTCCGGGTTGAAGGCGGCCGCTTTGAGGGTTAGTGTAGACAACTTTATCACCTGGCAAGAAGTGATCTGGTCGCATTTTATCTCGAATGTTGTGCATCAGCTTCTTGCATGCGTTCACGTAGTCCGGGATGAGTGTCAGAGCGGTACATTCGGAATGTACGCGAATACGTGCTTCAGTCAGGTTCTGAAGGTGCGAGTCGGAGTCCTGCGCCGAGATGTGTTCAATTTCCTGGTCGATAGGATGAAGAAGCCCGTCTGCCTTTCCTTCTTCTAAACCCCAGAACATCTGGCTGCGCGATCGAGCTTGGTGTGCTGAAGTCGGACAGTTTGCGCTGGCTTCCGCAAGCTCATCTAGGACAATTTGGACGGGGAGCGCGCGGCACTCTGGTGTCACTCGAACTCTGCGCCATATGGTCTTCAGAAAGAGGAAGCCTCTTTCAAGGATGTAGACTTTTTCACCGATAGGTAGTATTCGCCATTCTCGTCCGGTTTTTTGAATCATCGAAAAATCAGACAGAGCTAAATTTTCGAGACCTGCGTCAGCCTATATTTTTCTGCGCAAAAGCTTTTTATCGAGGGCGCGGTAGAGAACTTTGGCGATGTCTTCTTTCGACGGAGACGCATGGCCTTGGAGTAGGCGCTTGCCGAAATCGTCATGCAGCTGGAACATGACGCCGTCGATAGCTCGTCTCGCCTCTTCGGGTGTGATGCGCTTCTGCTTGATCGCCTTATCCAGCAGAGGTTGGAGTCGAACTTTGGTGCCGCAGTTGAAGAATCCAATTCGACCATCACCCACCGATTTGACTCCTACTATTGTGAAAATGAATCCATTTTCGGTCAGAAAGGTTGTGTCTATTAGGGTCTCTCCACCTGATCGCATTGCTGTTGCCGCAGAAAAACTAACGAAGTCCTTCAACTTTGGTCCTACTCCGTATCGTATTTTTGCCTGCTGTTCGTGCCGCGCGAGTCTGGTCACTTCTCGTAGTTCTTCTTCTGGAAGACCGGGGAGTTGTGACCTGGCAATGGTGAGACACGTGTCGAAACTGGCAAATTTCCCTTGGTAGTAAAGCGCTGTTTGCAGTAGTCGTATCTTGGACCGTTCGCGCGAGGAACAGCTACGCAGTGGAGGAAGGCAGACGTGAACTCTGGTGAGCTCTTCAGATGAGTATCGGATCGCTTCACCATTGTTTTGCAGTGTCAAAGAGTGCACGAACAGTTCTTTGGCGAGACTGCAATTATTAACGTATCTCCTGTGGTCTGTCCGGAGGATTTCACCGAGAGCGACAGAGAATCCGGGACCTGTTTCGCAACGAAGGATGATTCGCTTCTTAGTTTGCAGCTGCAGCAGAACTTCATCAATTGCGGCGCTGGTGATCGAGCGCTGCGCGTCTGGGTGAAAACCAGTTAGCACGCACTTCTTCTTGCAGTCCACAAGCTTCCTTCTATAGGTGGCCTCTCTGAGTCCTAGCTCTTCAACGTCGATAATGCGTGTCGTTTCCGCGATAATCGTAGGGACGTCTGCAATGTCTCGACAGGTGAAGACGTGAACATGTTCAACATCTCCCCGAACTTGGAGAAGTTGGCGCCCAGTCGGTGCCTTCTGGAAAGCCGATGTAGAGTTGCCGCTACCAACATATTCGAAAGGAATTTCGGAGAGATCACTCGGTAGAATTTTGCTCTGGCGGAAGTCAGTAGAGAGACGACCTTGCGACTTTGTCGACACATATCCACTGTTGAGCTCTTGTTGAAGGCTGTTGCTGGCTTTAACTTGACGAATTTCAGCATCAGTTGAGATGTAGAAGAAGTAATCAATCACGTGAAATGATTTCTGATCGTTTCCGGTCCATAGATCGCATTCTAGGTTTTCTCGTGAAGACGATTTCCAGTCGTCGCGAAGGTCGGGTGCTGCAATAACTTGCTTCCCGATATCGATGATCCTGCGGAGCCTAACTCGGTGCTTCAGCCATTCTGGGATTGGTGGCGTTCGCCGGATCCCAAAATGTCTCTCTCGGAAGACTGCTAGTCTGGCTTTCTTGCCATCTACCCCGAAGTCGTCGCCTTCCCGCACAAGTTGGTTGTCTCTAGACACTATCCAGGTGCTGGAGTCGGATTCTAGGTCTTTCTTCGAGTATCCGTCCTGGTCTACATCGTCATCTACTTGAACAGAGTGCTTAGTGTTGTTTTGTCCGAGAGCACTACTTGGGGCAGGCTTTGAAGAAGATGATGAAGATTTTCCGCCAACGTTTTCGTTGGCAGCCGCGACGCATTCACTTTCCCCAATTGTTTCTTTGAGAGGCGGCAGATGCGTTTTTCCCACTTTGGCGTCACGGCAAGTTGTTTCACTAGTGTAGCCGCATAATTTGGCGTAGTCCCGATACCTGCGAAGATCATAGAGACAAGACGCAGGAGTTCCCTTAGCTGCTTCGCTCGAGGAATGCACGGCGCTCGGTAGATCATCTACAAAGATGGGTCTGCACCACAGGCCTTGTGGATTAATCTCCTGCACTTTGCGCAGCACTGCCCATTCTTGTGGACTAAACTGGAAAACTCGACTGACAATTTGGCCTTTTCCTTCGAAATCCACCAGCCACTTCCCGTCGAATCCGCGAAGGTGCTTAGGGACTCCAGGCTCCCTAATGACGGACGCAAACAGTTCAGATTGTAGAAGTTCTCCCAGAAGATTTGGTCCCATTTTTGTGACGGTCATTTTTGCAAAGCCAATCGCGTACAAAGACTGGCCAATTCTCCGTATCGCATACGGCTGGGTTTGTCTGCGTAGGATGTTAACTTGGTAAGGTTTAAGCCTGCTCCGGTCGCAGCGTCGTTTTCATCCTCCTCAACTAGAATCTTAACTCCGTTGGTCTCAGCTTCAGATCGATTGAAGTTGGCAGTCTTGATGTCACAAAACAGTCTGGTGTTGTATCCATCACCCCACTGCATGCACCTTGGTTCACTGGTGAACTGAGCGACTTCGTTCTGCTCTCTGACTCCTCCTACTAGTGCTCCCCGCCTGTCGAGAACATCTATTTCAGCTTGAAACTGTGCTACGTCTAGTTCGTCTTTGGGGGTTTCTTCTTCTTCCACTGGGAAGCATTCAAAAGAATACCCGGCATGTTGGAGGGCCAGCTTCACCGTGTTGGTTTCGTAAGTGGACATCACCACTTCCATCGTTTCCTTCAGGACGTGAGTCTTTTCTTGATGCTTCTCCTCTTCAGTTTCAACGTCGGTCGGCGCACGTTGGAGAGTCAGCGTCCTCTTCGCTTATGCCGAAAACTCTTTCGTAAGAGCCGTCCTCAGGTTGGTTTCTGTCCTCAATCACAAAGACCCGCTGCTGCTGACTGCTGTCCACTGTGCTGAGAATGATCTGCTGAGTATCATTTTCATCTAGAAGCTCTAGTAGCGCAGCGATCTTTTCTGGTGCACTGAGGTTTAGCTCTTTGAGATTCTTCAGTCGGGCTGCCGCGCGATCACTCTCTTGAGTCGAGCACTCTCGAACGATGTGTCCTTTTCCGAAACACCCGCGACATCGCTTGTCTTTTCCGAATGGGCAATCAGCTAGAAGATGTTCATCGCCGCAGTTGTAGCATGCGATCTTCTTCTTCTTGGTGAGTGAGAACTTCTTTCCTCCTGTGCCTGTTCCACCACCATTTCCGCCTGCTCGTGGTGCGTTTCCTGGACCCTTGCTATTCCACGTTCCTCGTGGGTTATCTGGTCGGTATTTCCATGGCTTTGTTGGGTCAATCTTGGCTGCGAAAACTGCTTCTCCACCATCGTCATCGAAAAAGTGACGCTCTCCCTCGCCGGCTCGACGTTGCTCATCGGTGAGCGCTGCACGTTCCTTGCTACTACTAGCTGGACCTGACGAAGTTGCTGAAGGGCGCTTTTTCCGAAGCGAGATTCTTGCTTGTTCCATGAACTGGTAGTATTCAAGAAGTTGCCCGAACATCACTACTCCTCCGTTGGTCTTCATGTACTCGGGATGAGTTAGCACCTGCTCAGCAATTTCCGGGTGTTCCAGAGAAACTTTGCTAGTGAAGTCCTCCCACACGTCATTTCTTGCCTTGGTGACGCGATCTGGGTCTGAGAACGGATCGTGTGGGTTAATTTTTGGAAGAGGGACTTCGCCTGCTTCTTGCGACTCCTGGATATATCGAAGAATAACTTCCTCGTCGCTTTCTCCATCTTTTCGCCTGAAATTGCGGAACTTTTCCCTTTCTTCTCTGTTGATGACAAATTCATCACTGTACAAATCGCACAACCTCAGAAGAAGGTTTTCGAACCGCAGTGACTCGCGTTCTAGCCTATTGAAACGAAGTGTCCGGATCTTGCTCTTTACACTTTTGGCAAAAGTGCTTCCCCATCTATTTGTTGAAGATGCTCCTCCTGATGGGTTATTCCTCTCGTAGAGGACATCCTCGATGATTTCGTTCTCCACCAATTCTGGGAACAGCCACGCGTCTGAGTTGTTGGCACCTGGCCTGTTGACCAAACTTAGAAGGTACGTTTCGATTGCAGCCAAAAACTCTCGAAGCCGTGGGTATTGTTATTGTGTGGGCGGCATTCTATCTGGAAGTCGCCCTTTTGTCTCGAGTACGTATTCAGCTGGGACGTACTCTAGGTTGTTACTAATCCGGTACTCAGATTCGAAAAGTACGCGTGTGAAATTCCATTTCTTCTTCCTGACTAGTCCTCCGCCATTCTGCTTGTAACCAAGGCTGCTGTACTGGTTTACGTCTCCGAGTAAGTTGTGGCGTAGAGTCTGACTCATTGGTGCTCCGATTCCCGCGGACAGAGGTTTACCCCCCACCGTCGCTCCTTTGTTGAAGGTTCCTCCAGCATTTGGAGGAAAAGGCGGAGGTCCTCCTGCTCCTGGAACGGGGACTGGTCCCTTTCCGTTTACTCCACCGAAAGCTAGTCCTGGACCATCTATATGGATTGGAGGGATCGGAGGAGAACTACCTCCTGGAAACTGGCTTCCCTTTTCTCCTTTCTTTCCGAAGAAATCCTTTCCGGCGTCAGCTGATCCTTGGAGAAAGGTCAAGACTCCCGCTGGTGCTTTCGCTGGTGGTGGTGGGGGTGCTGTTCTGCCGCCGTTGCTCCCTTGTTGTTGGTCAGGGATGTTGTTGGCATCGTAGTACTGATTTCCGTTTGCAGTTGCAGATGACGGCGCAACCGACATAGGAGCACTCCCTTGTTGAACAAAACCAGTGCGCTGGGTAGGGTCCGCAAACGGACTTCCACCTCCGAGCATGTTCATGTACTTTAGCTGCTCAACTTGTGCTCTTAGTTGACTGATTTCCTCGCTGTTGTTCGCTCTCGCTGTCTTCTCCGCAAGTTCTTGCTGAAGTTCCCTCACTTGCTTGCTGAGTTCCTGAAACTGGAAACTAGATTGATCTTGGGCATACTGCGCAACCTGGTTTGCCGTGTTCCGAGTCTGATCTTCAACAATTTGTCGCTGACTGATGCTGTCCATATTTCGCTGCGTCAGTTGTTCTTGAATCAGTTCAACTGATTTCCTTTGCTGGTTGAAGTTAGAGTTACCTTCAGCCAGTTGTCGCTGCACCTCTAGCTGTTCGGCCTCGAGTTGTTCAGCTCTCATGCGAAGAGACTGTGTCCGTTGATTCAAGATGATTTCGTCACGATGCATTCTTTCTACGATGGCTCGATCGAAGATGCTTGGTTCTTGCGCAGAATGATTTTCCCCGGTTCGATTCCCCTTGCCGCTTGGGAAGGATCGATTATGACCTTGAGGCCCTTGCGGTTGAGCCGTTGCTCTGGGATCAGGAAAGCTCTGGCCGGTGCTACTTCCTCTCATGATGTTATCAACATGACGAATGACGTCTGCTCCTGAGAATGCGTTCACACTTGCAGTTGAACTGATGCCTTGTCCATTTGTAGCTGTCCCCGACGGGAGCGCTCCAGCACTTGGGAGTTGTAGAAAACCACCAGTAGAAGACGCGGACCCTCCTAGACCTACTCCATTTCCACTCTGTGGATAATTTGGCGAATTGAAAACTTGACTCCACAAATTGTTCATGTCCATGCCGCTCATGTTCTCCGGTGTCCCCATGCTAAAACGCTGAGGATGAGATTCTGGCGTCAGGCCTGGCGGCGGTGGTGGAGGAGGTGGCGGAGGAGGCATACTTCCTTTGTGTCCTACTTTTCCTTTCTGATAGGACCCTAGACTTGGCAACTTCGGCCGGATCGGCTTGGGCTCAGATGCCGAACTATCGTTTGCGGACTGCCGAAGTCGTTCTTGGTACTGTTCGTTAAGCTGCCTTAGATGTTCTGACGTGATGGCAGCTTGTTCTTTCGTCGTATCTCCAGTAACACCAGGAGAAGAACTACTGATTGAGCTTCTTGGTCTTTTTCCACTGCTGTCGCCTTGACTATTATTCATCTGGCGGGAAAGAAGGCTGACTGTTCCACAATCGCTGCTTTTCGTTAATTGTCGTTGCGATGGATCCGTTGCTGACTGGTCGACCGCTAGTATTTGCCGGTCGTAATCAGCGGAAGAGTAACCACTCTAACTCCGCTACCACTGTCAAAAGCAGACTGCTCCCTCAAACGAGACTGAGATCTTGCGCAGATCTCTTATTTCTTTCGTTCAGTTTCGGGCGAACACCCAACTTTCTCGGTGATTGAAAGTTGAAACGGTTGCGCAGGAAAGTCCTAGGCGCAAAGCTTCGATGTCATTTATGTTTGTGTAATCCTTGTGAGTTCGATGTTATGGTTGAATTTGTTGATTCGTTTTATGCGCAATGTTGTGTTAAGCTTTACTCTTTCCAAATATTCAACAATCAAAACTTGAGCCAACAAGACATCCGATGGCATCACAATATTCACACATTGCAGAAGTATTTATTTATACAAAACGAGCAAGAGAGAAAAGTCGTGGCTTGGGAGGAGAAGAAAGGATGAAGATCATTTTAATGCGTTTGGTTTGATTTACAACCTTCATCTTACTCAAGTTGCTTTGTTACTTATTTACTTACTTACTCTTTTGACTTATTTACTGAAACAAAATCAACTTGACACTTATAACAAAAAAGACTCTTTACAGATTTCTTCACATGACTATACAGACGAAAGACCACTTTTCCTTTTTCGGTCTTGGTCATCTTCCCAAACGAAAACCGTCGAAAACAAATCCGATTCTCTTCGCCGATTTTCTCTTCTCGTTTCTCTCAACTCGAAACAAAGACGACGACTTTACTTCATGCACTATTTTGAAGTGCAGCACAGAACATTCTTACTTTTAGAAAGTTCACAATAGGTTCGTGAAACGTTGCCACGAGGACGCAATCAAGTAAAATGAAGAGCGACTGATACAACTGAGAAACGGCAAGAACACGAGATGTTGAAATACAAATGTTCAATCCCCGCCGCCTCGATACTCACAGGAAATCGCTTTCTGCCCAATTCTTTCAAAGCCGTCACCTCAACCGCATCCATAGGAAATTGGCCTGCTATTGTCACTGTCTGAGCATCAGACTCCACCAAGGGTATTTCGTGACCCGCAAAGATTACCCTAGATATCCTATTCGCCATGGGCGCTTCCAGTGTGATCGTCACCTCCTGCGTTGCGTCTGCGTCGTCTTGGATCAATTGTGGAGTGATGCCCTCGATGTAGTTCCTGGGTGCTCGTTTGCGGAGCAGAGCGGCGACGGCCTCCTGATGGTCGGCAGTAGTTGTAGTAGAAGAAGGACGAGGCGGGGTAGTAGTTAAAGCTCAGCCTTCAATGGTCACTGACTCTGAAAGGAAGGGACCCCCTTCAAAGCTCTCCCCTTTCCCTTCGTTTTCCCCCCATCTTTCCTCAAGGGGTCGCCTCTTCGATCTCAGTGACCAACCCCAATGACCATTGAAAGCTGAGCCTTAAAGTAGAGGAAGGAGGCGGGACTACCTCGGCGCTTGGAGGTGTTGTACTTCTTGGGGGCCCTTTGGTATGTGTAGGAGTAGGAACTGAATCGTCGGCTACTTTATCGTATTTTTCAGCAGGCTCTTCCATTTTCTCAGTGGTTGCAGCAGCCTCTTTTGCGCTAGTTGAGGTTGTCTTTTCCACTTCAGTCGGCACAATAGTAGTGGGATTAGGGCTACCGCGTTGCATCCCTGGAGCCATCCCTGAGCCCTTTTTCCCCTTCAAAAAGAGGCCAAGGATGGTGTTGGGGATGCTTCAGCGGCAGCCTTAATAGGAGGCCCATCTACCTCAGAACTTCGCTTTTCAGGCTTGAACCTACTTCCTCTGTCTACAACTTCTACTCGATTGCCGATGTGCGTGGGATACCCACCAGGAGATGCACTAGGAGACTGGTTCGTACAACTAGAATCCTTATCCCTATGTGCGGCGGGCAAGTTATTCGGATAAGCGCCAGAGCCACTCGCCCCACCAGACGTGTTCAGTTTTGCCGAGTTCCTCTCTTGAATGACGTTGTATCTCGAGGCGACGAAAGCAGGCTTTGTTGTTTTCGTGGAAGAAGAAGTTGGGGAAGAAGGACTCGGATTGTTGTTCCAAGGATTATGACTAGTCTTGGTTGTCTTTTGTGGTGTAGTCGTTGTAGTTGCGCTTGTCCTCCCTGCAGTTGTTGATACTCTCCCAGTTGTAGCAGTTCCCTGTGTACTAGTTGAAGGGGTAGATGTTGCACTTGAAGATGCATCTTTTCCTCCACCTGAAGCTGACGACGAACCACTCCCACCTCCGCCCGAAACTGCTTCACCCCATGCTTTGCACAATGTTTTCATAGCCAGCTCAACTGGCCTAAAAACGTCTGTCAAGTCAGTCCCCCTCCATTTATCTGTCTCCTGAATGCATGCTTGTTGCAGTTCGTGGCAGTCGTTGCGCGCTGCTGCTAGTTTATGCTCGTTTCGTTGGAGTTTGGAACTGAACATTGGCGATGATCCTCCACTCAATAACGACCCGGCTCCTCCACCTCCCATTAGAGGCAGCACCTTCGCATCCTTGTTAAGAGCATCCCTGGGTTTGTTTCTCTTTCTCTTCACCGATATTGATCTGCCAGTGAGGCACCCAGGGAAGATATTCACCCGGTCCTGAAGAAATAAACTAAGTAGTCAGGGATGCTGTTGGGGATGCGTGTTCATCATCGGTAGCCTTAAGCCCAGACTCTGCCTAATCTCGAGGACCTTCTTCTCGTAATGCTGCTGTTGTCCCCAAGCAATGTCGCGTTGGTCAAAAAGGTACAAGGCTTCCTCGATTTCGTTGAGCATGGACTTGGCGACCAGTTGGACACGGTCTAGAAGCTTCTCTGGAGTGGAAGAGACTGCCTTGGAACTGGGAATTAGAAGGATATGCTGCGTGATCATTAAGGAGGTGACGAAAAGCAGCTACTTATATTAAAGCGCAGCATTCATTGGTCACGGACTCTGAACGGAAGAGACCCCCTCCAAGGCTCTCCCCTTTCCCTTCATTTTCCCCTGTATGTTCTCTCAAGAGGTCCCTCTTCGAACTCAGTGACCAACCTCGATGACCAATGAAAGTTGAGCCTTAACTATATACTTATATAAATCTAGGAACAAGAGGACCCATCTCTATCATGACTACCCATGATCTACATCTACTTTCGCATTTGCTTACCATTGCGTTTGCGATATTCAATTTCAAAATGCACACCCTCACTTATAACTTCCTATCCACTACAACAGCACCCGAATTCCTCGTTTTCCCTGATGCTACAGCCGCAGCGAGTAATTTTTGTTCTTCTTCGGCGTCAGCTAGAGTTATTCGACCAGTCCCATCCACTGTAGTCGGGACAGCTTCGTAAAATCCTCTGGCACATCCAGTACACAGACTGCCAAGTTGAGCGACTGTTTCCAGCATTACATTCAACGCAGGATCTACCGAGTCAGGGGATGACGTCTGGAAAAACACAAACTCCTCTAGTGCTCCCATTAGCACCCTTTGCTGTAGTACAACGGTGCTGAATGCATCCCTCATTTGGCCGACCGAGTCGGCTATAGCAGCTAGCACATCGCGCTGTCGCTGGACCCTAGTTTCAGCAGCTGAACGGGGGTCGCGAGTCTTACGCGCGACCGCTAGAGGAGTAGCGGTGGTGGTCATCATCGTTGCTTTGACTTGAGAAGAAAAGCTTAAAAAATCAAAGCGGATTTACTCAATCCAAAAATTGAAATTGAAAAGTTCTCTCGCTTCTCGGGCTTACTACATTCTAGCGACTCCCTCACGCGTGTCGTCCTACTATCTCAGCAAGAATGCTTCGAGTTCTATCTGATTACTTGTGTGCTTTCCAATTGTCGCTGCCTTTCTAACTTCAACCTGTGATGTCCATCCTTCGAGTATCACAGACAGCGCCATTTTCGAACACGGAACCACGTCAAGAAGTCCTCCCCCCCACTTGCTACGGACTGTTCACCCTTTGCTATTCTTCATTCATCTCCGTGGAGAATGGCAGGAAATCGAAAATGCCATACAGTTTTTCCTTGAAGAAGAATCCTCAACATGGGGAATCAAGTTTGACTTTTACAAGTTCAAGGTAACGCGTTCCGGTTTTTTCAAGATTTTTTTGCCTCCAGTGTCGTATCGTACAGTTTCAGTTCAGAGAATAAGTGATGTTGAGCGTGTCAGTCGTGTTTTGATTTTAACCATTTGTTTCAGTGTCGTGGCCGTTCGCGTTGTAAAAGTAATCAACATAAAAGTATTCGTATTGTGGTATAAGTCACAGGCCTTCATCTATCAAAGTAAATTTCCATGATCATCACGTACATCATATCTCCACCAATCAGTTGTATATTTTGAAGTACATACGGCCAACATCGATTTGGTTGTACTCAGAGTGATTTCCCAATACTTGCACATACTGCTGACTCCGGTCGAGCGCCCTCAATATCGTGTCGGCCGTGTCGCTGCGCTGGCCCTTCTTCATCAGCAAGAACGTCTTCGCGCGTAGGAGCAAGACCATGGCGAGAGGTGTTAGAGTGACGGAAAGAGGCATTTGCTTAGTTTTGTACTTAGGACTAGCTGGGAAGTGAAGAATTTAAGGAGGAGAGCAAACAAGGACTTGCAAAGACGGAAGAGAGAGTCAACATAAGTAATCCATGATCTAGTAGTGGACAGGATCTTTTAGATTTCATAAGTTAATCTCATCCTGCACCAATTGTTGCGACACATTTGGCTTCACCTCTGCGTTGCAGTTCGGGTTCTCGCATCGCTGTCCGCAACTCTTCAGCGACAGCGTCTTAGACACTCTTCGACAGGTTTGCTCCGTACATGTATTTGCGCTCACCACAATCCATCTTGCGACTCATCTTAAAGCCCTTTCCCACTTACGGAACAGGCATAACCCTAAGATGCTTTCTAATTCTAAGATGGATTACCTGAAGCGGCCTTAAATGTCGTGATGCCTTCCATATATCGGATGTGGATATTCCGAAACCCGTGCAAGATTTGACTGAGTAACATCCTTGGCTCTTGCAAGTCGCAGAAGGGACAGCGCAACATCGCGTCCTCATTGACAACTTGTAAGTCCTCGTTAAGACCAAGAAACTTTTGAAGAGGGATAAGCTTGGAACAGCCGGAACCTGGAGTTGTAATGATGCTAAGGGAGATGGACCATGAGAAATTCAGAATTATCAACAGAACTCTGTGCGATACTAGCCAAGCTAAAAGTTGTAGGTCCGTGAAGAGAGTGCAAAACAACAGAAAAGTACATTGCATCTCGAAAAGCAGCTTCCTTCCCTTGTATCGCGTAATCGGGTTCAATATCTCCTCTACCAATGTCGACGCTTCTTCCGCATCGTGCTCCACTGCCCCAGCACCTAAAGAAGCGACCATGAATTTCGTACTGTCCATGCCCAAAGCCTCCGCAATCTTTCCCGCATCAGTTCCATCAATCGGCGCTAGCAAGCGCATCAACGGTGGATGTATCTGCGATTTCAAGTACCATTCTTTGTCCAACTGAATCTTGTTCTTAGGGTCTTGCAACTCAGCCATTGAGAAAGCGCACATGCCAATGTTGCTGACGTCCTCTGGCTTGATCGCACTGCCTTCACCCGCTTCCCCCTCTAGCCTCTTGCAGATGAGATAGGCCACTTCTAGACCGGGATTCACCGTCAGACCCTTCTCCATCATGCGCTTCGCGACCATCACATGAGGCTGATTCCGAGGATCTGGGTATTCGTGCGGCATCTTCGAGATCGACTTGGTTATCAAAAACGAAGCGAGGTAGAGCTCGTCCTTGTCTATTGGAGATTAGAAGTGGTCATTTCAGATAAGTAATCTTGGGGAATTGCCTCTGCAGTGACAGTGTGCATTTGTAAGAACGCTAAGCATGACTAAGAACATCAGTCTGAACATTTCATAATTCTTCCTCGTCTCTTTCAAGTACTCGTGTATCCATTCCACTACAGCGTCATCCGCAAGCTCTCCACCCAAGACTTTATCCAAGATTTCCTTGCCCATATCACTGCTAAGTCTGCACCAATCTCTTCTCACCAGGTCTAAACCCTTGTACTCCTTGTCGAGGAGCTTCTTTTCCGAGTGTTAGACAGAGGAAATCAAAATCACTTCAAATGAAGATGATCTAGTACATCGTCGACATCACGTGCAAATTACTTCAAATGAAGATCTACATCGACATCCCGTACATCGTCGACATCACGTGCGCGTGCCCACCACTGAAACTATTCGTCGACATCACTATAACTCTACCTTTTCCACCTCATAACAGTCTTTAATCTTGACTCCCGCGTATTTTTTCTTTTTCAAGAGCAGAATCCTTTGAAACACCCCGTCCAGATCGATCTCCAGTTTTCGGTATTTTTTGTTGACCTCCGACTTGATCCTCGACGCGATCTTCACTGCTTCATGATAGTCCTTGGTCTTCGACCTGACGAAGACAGAGTCCGTGTCACCATAGACGACATCGAAATTCATGGTTTCTATTAGAGCTCACCCTAATGCATCTCCAGAAGCATCCTGCTTCCCTTTCTCCCTTGAAAGGCCTCTCTCTAGCTAGGGTGACTTCTGCTCCGAAGATGGACCATTAGGGGAAGCCTTAATTCTATCAGCTGCTGCGTCTCACTCAGTGCGCTTCTTCCTCGCTGTGTGATCAACGCTGCGATTGGCTTGGCGTGGAAACGGGAATTCGCGAAACCGAGACAACCGTACATCGAGTTCGCGGTTAGCTTGAGAGCTAATTGCTTGGTCTCGAGTTGGCCAAGCTTTTGCTTGTCGCCAGCTGGGGTGGTTTTGATCTCCTTCTTCACGTCTTTTCGCGAATCGACGAGGCGTTGACGCTTAGAAGTGGGAACTTTTAAAAACTCAAGACCAACAGAGATCGTGTGATTGTGAAAGTCAAATTAAGGAAGTCCAACAGAGATCTTCACGTGACTCCTTCGAGGTGGAGAGATCGGCAATCGAGGCGACCTTGTGGGGGATAGGCGCCAGGGCTACCCCTGGCCAAAGGGTCGTCGTCGTAACCGATAGCCAGTCCAACTTGCGCGCGATCCTAAACCCAGCACTTAGGAACGACAACGACACAGCCCTGCACTCGGCTCTTCGTGCTGCCCTGACAGGACTCGGACCAGCGGGCAGACTAGAGCTGAGATTGTGAAAGTCAAATTAAGGAAGTCCAACAGAGATCTTCATGTGAAGTCAAACTAAGTATAAGTGTAAGAAATGACCCAGGAGCATAATCAAAACTCGCGGCAACACCCCTGCGGATTTCTCGTCTCTGGCCATGGGTGGTGTGACTTCCTTCATCATCTCCTGCTCCGTCAGCAGTCCTGCGCGGTCTCCACGAGGTCTCTGCACTGTGGAGAAACAGATGTTGTACTCCTGGATCAACGACGGGTACAAAGAGTTGAAATCCAAGAGAAGAACGAAGTCGTCGTACAGGCCAACTTTAGGCTCCAGCACCAGACCACCCGAATAAGCCGCTTTTTTGTGGGGATTAGAGGTGGAAGAGGTTCGTGGAGTTACATCCTGGTCTATTGCTATACAAGACTAGGTGGGAAGCATTTGCAAGGTAGAAGCGGTGGAGCCAGATGAAGTCTAATGTGAGCACTCATTTCTTCTACATTCTCGATACTCTGGCTTCAACCTCAACGCATCTACTTTATTCATTCATTCATTCATTCATTCATTTGCGAACCACGTGACAACTCAACAACTTTAACATCTTCAAGAACATGATCAGGACATAATATTTGTCGGCGCATTCGCTCCTTTATTTCCATCTTCTCCATCACCTCCTCCCAGCCCTAGGTCTTCCAGATCCACGTTTCCCTTCTTCTTCCCGCCGAACTCCGCTTTGTCGGGACACACGTATTTCTCCCTATGAAACTCGTGGATCAGCAAGTACTCGTTCCTTTCTGCCCTCTTGTTCTGCAGGCTGTGAGCCCAGAGATTGCCTCCGATGATGGTTAGTTGCTTGGTCAAAGTCAACATCTCCAGTCGGTGCATGAGCATGAAGGTGCAAATCATCTCGTCCATGGCATAGGCAGCATACTCCTTAACCACCTTAGCATCTTTGTAGTCGACAAGTGGAGGAGGATGCCTGATGATGAAGAGATTTGTTGCTACAATTAATCTCGCACAAAGTTCAGTGCAGACTGCCTTAAGGGCAACCCTAAAGATTTGTTGCAAGAAGGGATAGCCTAAAGGTAGAAAGAGGAAACAAGCCGGCTGAGGCTTTTTATTTAAGTGATTTAATGAATAGACGAAGAGAAGTGTCTAACTATAACCTTTGTACTTAGTTTGTTCTGTGATGTGTAAGTGAAAGTACCCCATTGATTGGAAAGTAAATCATCATGCATTTTTGCGCTATAATCAAAGTAAGACTAGCACTGGTAGTAGATGGTGGCACTGGCAGTGCCGTGTAGCGACTCTACTGATGCTACAAGAAGAGGACAATGACCATGAAGAAGCCAATCCAAATTTCGTCGGTTCAGTCACAGCCTCACCCTTGCAAACGATCAACAAAAAAATAATACTCTGGAACGTGCATGTCGAACTTGAGTTTCATGAGATGTGGTATTTCGTAGTTGTTTTGCTTTGGAATCAAATCCCTGCTCATGAGCAGCGTATCGCAAACTAGGCGACCAATCGTTAGCTGTCGACCTAGGTAAAACCCACTTGCGCCTGTTTTTCTGTACTGGAAGTCACCAGTGCGACGAAGCCGGGAAGCCTGGGATCGGTGATTATGAGGGTACATAAGCTTTTGATCCTTAGATAGTCAAGAATCTTATTATGAGGGTACATAAATATAATTCGAGTTCGAGTTTACTTTACATGACTCAGGTTTGTAGCCATCCGCATCCTCCCTTAAGAACATCAAAAAAACAAAACCATCAAACTAGTAGTACTTACAAGCGGCCCATCGAAGTACCATATGCCATTCTTTCAGTCTCTGCGCGTTGATCCTGTTTCCCAATATATCAAGGCCAAAGCCGTACGCATTGTGCATCACTAGCACATCAGGATCCAGTCTCCGGAGCTGTGTCAAAAATTCCTGCAAGAGCTGATGCTCCGTGTTACAAACTTCACACTCGTAGTTTGGACCCATACTCGGTAGCTCTACTCGCCGTCCATTCACGACAGGTAGTTTTGCGTCGTCGGCGAACTGACGCACTCTTGCCCAGCGTCTCATCTGCGACTGCACACGAGAAATGTCCGGGTCGGGGCTGTCTACCTGGATGTTTGCGAATTTTGGGTGAGCTGCACGAAGTGAAAGGAGAAGGCGATCAAAGTGCACGAAGCTAGATCGAAGCTACTGAAAAAACCCTCAAATCAAATCAAAGAATTGCAATTACCTGAAACGGCTGCTCCTTCCACCCAATGCAAAGCATCACTAGTTCATGTTCGCCTCCTCGCTTTCGCTGTCTCGTTTTCACGCCTATCATAGCTAGAGTCATTGGAGGACTCACAGATGGCATCTTGGTCAATGGCGTAATCCGTTTCTTCACCATGTCGCTCTGACTGAACAAATCTTTGTGGCTGTACACATGCGCTTCCAATGGGCATAGCGACACGTCTTCCATACCGGGTGAGTATGAAGGATGAAACTCATTGGGAGATGAGTTGTGTAAGAGAAGTTGTAAATTATATCTTTAAAGCCAAAGAGTGTAAGGCATTGATTTAACGATCTTGTTGAGGAGGTTGAGAAGTTGTAAATATTATTCGTAGTTCTTGAGTGCGATCTCTACTTCTACTTCTATTTCGTCCAAAAAAAAAGTACTTCAAATATCCAGAGTCCGCTTTCCACCATAACTTCGGATTTCTTACTCGCAGCCACATGGGTCCTTTCAAACTGCGCTTTTTGAACAGCATCTCCAAAAAACTAGTCTGTGCTCCGAAGATATCGCTGTAATGTTGTCCGCCAGCTTCCATTAAAGGTTACGGAACTTTTACACTCTTCAGCACATAATCCCTGGCCTCTTTTCTACTAGGAAAAGAGTCAGGGATCTTATAGTGAAGAATTCATATGCAATTCGGAAACCCATAATTCTAGAATAGTACCGCTGGATCCATCAAAGGACACCTTGCAAAACTGCAACTCTCCGTGAGGATGGGGTATCGGCTTTTCGAAGACGTATTTTCGCTTGACTGCTTTCCACTGCACGGTCGAGAGAGCGTCCATATCTAGGTGGATGAATGAGTGAGGAGATTGTACTATCAGTTTTAGACCAAAATCCTCGATTTTTATTCTTATTCGGAAAAGGTACTTTGAGGAGATTGTACTACTTGGTTTTTGGATTTAATCATCGAGAGAAAAATCTATTCTTTACAACTCCGTGTGAAGATTGTTGAGCATGAACATGCCTAGTACCTAAATGTAAGATCATCTCAAGAAGGATAATTACTTTTCCCAAGCCTCAGCGCTTTCTTCAGTTGTGTCTCGCAAAACTCTTGAAACGCAAGCTCCGCTTCTTTTTTGTGCTCTTCTTCTGACAAGCCTTGTTTTTTCAAAAGTAAAAAAACGTTTCGTTTCATGCCGTTGACTACTACAGCGCAGTTTGCAGGTCTCGCGCCCTGCATTACCTTTCCGAAAAGCACTACACGACATACGCCATTTCGAAACGCAACATCTTCGTGAGCATCTTGGTAGTAAAACCAAAAACACCTCTCGCCATCCACTGAGGGAACGCGGTGGCTGCCGGCTAGCTGCTTGGGATTCAAGGGGGATTAGAGGTGGAGGTACAACTAGAGTGTGATTGAAAGTGATACATATATAAAGATCACTTACCATGGATGAAGGTAAGTCGGTCCGTCTACTTTCGTAACACACGCATTTTCAGCGGGAATTTTTGTGGACAAATCAGAAATAGAAACTCAACAAGTTGTTCTCAGCAAATATCACTGTATCTCTTCCACTCATGATCCATAATCACTATAGTCGCCTCCTCCCACGTGGCCCTTCACGTTGCTAGAACTCGAACTCCCACCAGCTTGGTGCGCTGCTGGGTTAACATAGGTCGCCGCAGCGCTTTTGATAGCGTTCAAACTGGTGTCTACGGAACCTCCAACGTCATCTGCCAAAGCAGAAGGCATCGAGACCTTGTCTGTTCTCTGTCTCTTAGGTTCAGGTTCTCCAGCAAGCGAAGACCCAGTGTTATTCCGTGCATTCGCGAGCTGTTCGAGGCCTGCAGTCGTCTCGTCGCGGATCTGCGCAGTACCCTTTGGCCGGATCGACGCCATCTTTGAGGTAGTTCTAGTTCAGTCACTTCACAAGAACTAGTTGTAGTACTCTAGAAGGGGAGTATCGAAGTAGACAAAAAAAATCTTTACCTCCTTAAATTTGTATTGGCGGAGTAACCAACATCTCCAAGAGCCTACTTACGATCATAAGCAGAGGTTCATGATAGATCATTACATGGCTCACCCCTATCTAAGAGCGAGAATCTTCTATTTTTCTCCAACTTTTGCTCTTCATTTTTTCCATGTGACATGAAATGAGCGTACTTCTACGTAACAGACCGAAATCTACGTCTTTTTGACATGAGTTTTTGTGAGAGTGCCGAACACAAAAATTGAGACGAGACTGAGGACAGCCTAGTGCGCATGTATCTGCGTGAGATACTTTTGGATGTTTGGATGTGTGTCCGTTTTAGCTGTGTTTCTTTCAAACCATCAGTCAGAAACAACTGTAAGAAGCAAAACAAGGAATCAGTCGAGCTAAGAGAGTCGTGTCAGTGTGAGTAGTGTCGAGAGAGAGTCAATGTGTACTAGTTTGAATCCAACACCCTCCATGCAAAATCAAATCCACTATGACGTCCTCCCAGAGGAGTAAACTCTTCTCCAAGTCTTATTATAGCTGTCCGTAATTCATCTTTCAAGTGCACTTGAAAAGTATGGGCGAATACTCCCAGAGGATGCTCCTCGTCCATACATTTCATCATGTGATGTCCAAAGATGTATTAGGTCCAGCCTTAATCTTAAGCAGGACCCCACCTACTACAAAGTCGAGAAGTGTGTTTTCAATTGTTTCAGCAGTTCCTTCGATTCTATGTGGTCTGGATAGGCCGTCAAGGCCTTATTGGCATATTCGAAGGACTCGCGGAATTCCCCAAGTTTGAAAGCCAAGAGCCCATTGTTAAACGCAGGTTCAAAGAAGTGGCTTCCGAGATTCAGAGCACCCTTGAAATGCTCCTGCGCCTGCTCGATGTTGCCCTTCCGCAATTCGAGAACACCAAGGTTGTTGTAGCGGAGTATGAAGGAAAGGTGGTGACTGGGGTTTCGCTTTGGGGAAGGTCAATCCTCTGTGGACCTTGGCCTGCGATCTTCCCTGATTTCATGTTACTGAGGCTAGTAATTATCTATCAACAATGTCATTGGCCTTAGAATTCAAGAAACTCTTTCTCTTCTTAAGACAAAAAAACAATATGTATCTTGCAGAGTCACAAGCTAATCCGGAGCTGCTTCCGCGGATGCAATAATAATAAGACTCAAGAGGTTTACCTCGACATACACCGTCATCATAATTTCAGCATGTCCACTATCTACGGACACCGCGATTTTAAACGACTGATACGCTAATCCGAGGTCTCCGACTCCCACAGCGACGTGGCCAACATTGTACCACACGTCTGCCATGTTGCTGTCGTCAGCCAACATAAGTGCCCGCTCAAAACACGACAGGGTTAAGTCGTACTGTGGTGCGAGCATAATATGTTACGGTTAAGTCGTACTGTGGTGCGAGTATGGGAGATGGTTAAGTCGTACTGTGGTGCGAGTATGGGAGAGGGTTAAGTCGTACTGTGGTGCGAGCATAATATGTTAGGGTTAAGTCGTACTGTGGTGCGGGTGTATGTTTGTCAGAAGATTGTTGCTGGGTGGTGAAACGAGAAGGTAAGAAAGCGGAAGAGCACATTGATCTTCTCAACAAAAACGCACATATTACATGATGCAGCCATAGGAAGATGGAAATTAGACGTCCTACTACTTGCGTACAGCTAGGCAGATTGATTGATTGATTGATTGATTGCCATGCCTGGCAAGAGGTATGTTTTGGAGAGCTATATATTATAAGAAGAAGTACTAGTCATCGTCCAAATAAAGCTACTTAGTACCTGTCCCGAATAGAAGCAGCAGAGTCCCAAGTTGTTCCAAAGCTCTGGACTTTTTTGCTGTCCCGTTTGCAGTAATCTTCTATAAAATCGCAAAGCAATCTCCGGTTGATCCGTGTAGAAATGATGGCTGGCTAAGCATGATATTGCTTCCGCGTCGATCGAGTCGTAATGGAGGACTCTGGTAAAGATGGTGGTGATGGGAAATGACATGTTCACATCTTGACCTCACATATTGAACTACTTGAATCAGTCGTGTGTAAAAAAATACTTTCTTCGCAACCGCAAGAAGAACAAAATCAAAATCACTAGTTCTAAAAACTAAAACACTAAAAATGACCACAGTACTGTTTATAGATTTTCACGCCTTCCAAAGCCTGGTTCAATTCATCGTGAACCCTTGCCAATGCCAAAAGCAAAGCCGTGTCTCCAGGATATCGCTCAGATGCTTGTCGGTACTGTTCTAGTGCTACATTGGGTTGGTCCATTTTCACGAACACTTTGGCCAGTTCCAAGTGGGTATACGCATAGTCCCAGTCTTTCAACGATGAGAAGAACTGCCTTTTTGCGTCGTCTAGCAAACCCAGCTGGTAGTAGCACTTGCCCAGTCGCGCTTTCCACCACCAGTCTTGGTATTAAAGGGGAGGGTTAACTTGCTTGTAGTCTTCTGCCCGCAGTGACTACGCGGCTGATGCTTGATATGTTGATGTTGATCATTATCTAAATCCAGTACAAGAAAATTAAATACAACACGCAGTGGCCTTGGCCAAGCATGTGCACAACTCGTACTACCCTTAGAACCAACGTAATTGGGTCAACTGTGACGTTCTTTCCATAATTAAACTCCGCCACTTGCGTCGCAACTGCACTAAGCTCCAACGCCTTCTTAGGGTTTCTTGCTACGTATAATAGCCAATCGCAAAGTGCCTTCGCTAGTGCTGGTTTTCTGGCAAATCTGTCCACGTTGATCTGCTCCGGTATGATAAATTCCTTCGTGTTTGCCTGAGACATCGAGGCGGTGCCGAGACGCACTAAGCGACCCATAGAAGTCAAGGGACGAGCGGATGACCCAGGCCTCATGTTCACGCCCATGGCAGTGGCGAGCTCTGTTTTTGATGTAACGCTATTCGACAAAGGATCTGGTCTACGACATCTTCTCAGAGTTAAAGGGTCCCCATCCAGCGAAGTTCTACTTCACAATGTAAAATGCTTGTTACCATTCCTCCCGCTGCTTGTGCTGCCTCGTGTGGCGGTACCTGCACGTGCGAAACCAGTCAACGGGCGCCCACTTTGACTTACTGGTCGGATCACTGGACTAGGGCGAAAATTAGAAGAACAAGAATGAGAATCAATCAGCGTAAGTACTTTTGAGGCGCTCAACAGGTTATAGAAGGAATGCTAGTGTAGCAGTAGAGCTTTCTAGTTCATTTGCCACGCAAAACCTCGCTCCTCTCGAGAAACAAGGCAAATACTACAACTCTACTAAACGACCAGAACTTCTTTTATCTCAACTTGAATAAACCATAACTTGCGATGCCAAACTAGTCCCAGGACGTAGAGACGTTCCCGGTCTTGGTGCAGAGGCTAAACTATGGTCATCCATGACCATGTCCCCTAGGCCCTCCTCGTCCATCTCCAGGTCGTCTAGATATTCTTTTTTCGTCATTGCTCTGCATTTGAGGAACCATACCTGTATAGAAGTATTATAAATATGAATGGTTGATACTTTAACGTTGATAATCTAGTATTAAAGACTAACATATCACAGTCTCGCTTTTAGTGCGCCACACAGAATCTGGACCACACGTTCTACTAAACTCTACCGCTTCGTCCCTCGGATTCTGCGTCAGCATATCTGAGCAGAGCTCGATACACTCTTCCCATTTCCGGAACCGAAACTTGCTCAAAGCAATGTAGTATGGATTTAAACCTTCAGCGCCCATAGTTTTGGTTCAGGAAGCTACGGGTTGATTGAATAGTACACGAGAGGAAGACGAATCTTCTCTCGATGGCGATTTACTCCCCTTAACAATTTCCCTATATCTATGCACCACATCGACTACTTAAATAAATACTTACATCTTTCTGTATCCCAATGCACTTTCAGTAGCCTACCCTTTTCGTTTTTCCTCTCAAACATCGTCTGTTTTCTATTCCTCTCTTTTCATCCCCATGGAGGACCTCTCTCTCTTCTCTCTCTCCCCCCAGATATAACATTTTCATCTCCTTACCTTCACTGACTTCAATCATTCCAGTAACACCCGCATTAGCGACGGCTTCAGCAAACAAGGGAAGAGAAAGCAATAGAAAAGCTGAAAGGCGTCGGCCTTAGAGACGCTGCGCTTAATGTACTGTAATTTTTCAGCCTATCATGTGTATAAGCCATATTAGCTTCAGATCTGGCGGACGCTTCATTTATACACCACCAGAATAAGGTTTTTGGATACTGATGGCATCCACAACTTTCACATCGTAGGTTTTTTGAGTGTGGACCTTATCAGCATCGATTCCAAGGGTTCTAGCGAATTAACTCCAGGACCTCCTATAGATCCTTTATCTATTTTGATAGGATATACTGCTTCTAGTCCTAGCACAACGATCTAGCACGAACTCATGGTACATTCTTGTTCTTGGCATTCAATCCTTTTCCTTTAGATAAAAAATAGTATCACATCACTCCAGTTCGCATTGGTTCATCTTCTTGGAAAAGCGATTTAAGTAGTTCTTCATTATGTGTTGTACGACTTTACGACCACTCAATACTTGATAATATCTTTTTACTTAGAAACTACTTTTCAAAAAGTACCTTCATCCCCTCATCGATCCAAAACTAAATATTTTTCCCAAAACGATTCAAAACAAATATTAGGCCGCACCGACATCATGTTAAGCA